GAATGCTATGATCTCTTATTGATGTCACTTGTTCAATACATTTCAATCAGTGTAGATGAAGGGTATGATGCAGGTTAAATAAGGATTTTTAAGCCTTGAGACAATTGAGACATGGATTGTGTATGTGTACCATTCAGAGGGTGGATGGGCAAGACAAAAGATTGAAGTGCCTTTGAACAGGGTATGGTAGTAGGTGCCAGGTGCACTGGTCTGTGTCAAGAACTCCACCAATGCTGGGGTTTTCATGCTCCAGGTTTCTGTGTGTATCAAGAATGGTCAACTCAATATTAGGAAGGTGTTCTTAATGTTTTCTACACTCAGTGTACACTGTTTCATGGTGAACAAAATATGATGCCTCTTCATGTCTGTACATTTGATCTATTATGGTCTGGCTTGATGTTTAGCTGTTCAAATTCCACTCAATAAACATTCCCACCTTTATAATGCCAGAATGGAAGCCTCTGTTGTTAGTCATTTTGAAGGATTTTATTAAAGGGTCAATCTGGTATTTAAACAATCCCAACTGATGGGGTACGACAGTAGAACTAACCCACTGGGCACAGATGTCAATTCAACGTCTATTCCACGTTGGTCCATAATTCCATTGAAATGACGTGGAAACTGCGTTGATTCAACCAGTGTGTGCCCAGTGGGAAGCTCAGGAGTCATTTATAAGTACTATTCTTCAAGAATCATTGGCTATATATCATTAATTTAAACTTCCAAAAATGGATGTACTAAATCAAGATTGCCCCTTTAATTATTAATTTCGCTTGAAATGAAAATTATTTGTAAGAATGAAAATCCTTGATACCCAACCTGCTCCAAACATAGACCTGTCAAACCATTATCATTGGTCTTTACGATTTTCACATTCCAGAATTCTCCCAAGTGTGTTTTGTCTTCTTAAATCTGTTTGCTAAATTGGTCATAATGGTGGTCAGTTATTAACAGTATTAGTAATCATAAGTGAACAATTTATTATTTGAGTCACACATTATAAACCCCTTTTAAACCAGTCTTGTCAGGAAGTAATGTCATGTCAGTAAGAATAATATATCCCCGAGTGTAGTTTACCATAACAGGGATTTCAATTACTGCAATCTTTGAAAATTAGAGGCTTGGTTATTGGACAGGGGGTATTCTTGCCACAGCACGCCGCAGTTGGAATGTTTACGAATGGTTAACGAGCTCAGAGAGGAGAATTAACGCACCATCACCCACCCCCCTCCTCGAAAAAGTGAATTTCCATTACATCAAAGATCAGCTCTTTCAAGATCTTGCATGTTTAATCGTGGGCGTCTCGTAAGGGAAATATGTTGTAATTCGATGTTTTGTGTAGAATGATGGCCATAACCAAAAAGTAGGTCTAATGACGCATTTGATTTACTCAATAAAGTTTGCAGGGGACAGGCTCGCTCTTGCAGGCTATCACGCGTTCTCCGTGACCAAAAGCAGGCTGAGTTCTCTCGAATTGACAGATATAACGTGACCATTATCTGACGGACTTGATTCAAGAAATTAACTTCTAATAATTTTGCGCATGATAACAGAGACTAAGTAACCCAAAATATTATGATGCTATACTTTGTGTTACTTTTCCTACTGTATGTCCTCAGTGCACGGACGGTAAGTGAAGTTATTTCTTACAATTATAGTAGTTCTCCTAGAGCGCAACAAGTGAACCGTTTGCGTTTGGAGAGGCATATTTTGGCGTGCATAATTTGCCAGCAAAGTAAACTAACCATGCATTCCTTTAATATTGCTTCACTTTGATTCCAGCGAATGGTACTCCCAGGATATGAAACATTTAGTTCAGGAAATGTGAACAGAGATAATAATAAAGGTAATCATTCCTATTAACATTAACAGTATACACCACCTGTTTAATTGATTACAGTTTTGTACGTGATCTTCACTATCCTGTCTCAATATGTTGTTTATAAAATGTTGAAATATGTTGTTTGTATAATATGATTACACAACTGTACAATACAGTCCATCAACCATTTACCAGTCAAGAACTCAATGATAATGACCTCTTTAGTCGATACAGTTGGAATCCAGAATTATTCAGCTTGTGTTGGCAAGGGTCCACATCTCTTTTCATAACAGAACAACGATTAGGCTGTCTTAAGGGAAGGATATAGTGCTGATATCTATGCATCCCTTCTAATGGGCCTCCCTAGTAATATAACTTGATTGGGTCCTGGCTGGAGCCACTGTCAAACTCAAAGGATTAATTGTCTATCATATGCTGTGATCCCAAGCCGATAACACCTGCTTTCTCATAGCATATTTAAAGTGGCCTCCATTCTGCCACAAAGTGTTTTAGGGTTGATATTGTTTTTACTTTCAATATTGATGTTGAACTGATCTTGTGCAGCAAACTTAATGAAATACTGACTTTTTTTCATTTTCCTGCAGAGAATGAGGAATTTATTACTAGAATATGTGTAAAATACAATATGTTCACTTGTGCTGATAACCATATGTATCTACTCCTGTTTCTGTGAATCCAGTCCTTACAGTAGAGGGGAAAGAATGTAAATTCCCATTCGTTCAGGGAGGAAGCATTCACCACCACTGTATCACCACCAGCTTCTCCAGACCTTGGTGAGTCCAGTTCCATCCATTTCGGGTGTCTGTTAGTCACTCTAGTATCCAGTGTTTGGAGACAAACAACCACTTCCACCACACGCACATACAGCATAACATTGCCACACATTTCCATTACTCAAAGAGATACACTATATATACAAACGTATGTGGACACCCCTTCAAATTAGTAGATTTTGGCTATTTCAGCCACACCCGTTGCTGACAGGTGTATAAAATCGAGCACACAGCCATGCAATCTCCATAGACAAACATTAGCAATAGAATGGCCTTACTGAAGAGCTCAGTGACATTCAACGTGGCACCGTCATAGAATGCCACCATTCCAACAAGTCAGTTCGTCAAATGTCTGCCCTGCTAGACCTGCCCCGGTCAATTGTAAGTGCTGTTATTGTGAAGTGAAAACGTCTAGGAGCAACAACGGCTCAGCCAAGAAGTGGTAGACCACACAAGCTCACAGAATGGGACCGCCGAGTGCTGAAGTGCGTAGCGCGTGAAAATCATCTGTCCTCGGTTGCAACACTCACTACCGAGTTCCAAACTGCTTCTGGAAGCAACGTCAGCACAATAATTGTTTGTCGGGAGCTTCATGAAATTGGTTTCCATGGCCGAGCAGCTGCACACAAGCCTAAGATCACCATGCGCAATGCCAAGCGTCGGCTGGAGTGGTGTAAAGCTCGCCGCCATTGGACTCTGGAGCAGTGGAAACGCATTCTCTGGAGTGATGAATCTGGAAGTCCGACGGCCAAATCTGGATTTGGCAGTTGCCAGGAGAACGCTACCTGCCCGAGTGCATAGTGCCAACTGTAAAGGTTAGTGGAGGAGAAATAATGGTCTGGGGCTGTTTTTCATGGTTTGGGCTAGGCCCCTTAGTTCCAGTGAAGGGAAATCTTAATGCTACAGCATACAATGACATTCTAGACGATTCTGTGCTTCCAACTTTGTGGCAACAGTTTGGGGAAGGCCCTTTCCTGTTTCAGCATGACAATGCCTCCATGCACAAAGCGAGTTCCATACAGAAATGGTTTGTCGAGATCGGTGTGGAAGAACTTGACTGGCCTGCACAGGGCCCTGACCTCAACCACATCGAACACCTTTGGGATGAATTAGAATGCCGACTGCGAGCCAGTCGGAACGCCGACTGCGACCAACTCCATATTAATCCACATGATTTTGGAATAAGATGTTCGATGAGCAGGTGTCCACATAGTTTTGGTCAAGTAGTGTACCTCACTCTTGTACACACAAAGGGGTTTCCCAGTCATAGATTGGTGAGGTGACACCCACGCACACACGCACACGACAGCCACCCAAGTCATAGACTGTTCTCTCTGCTACCGCACGGCAAGTGGTATCGATGCACCAAGTCTGGAACCAACAGGACCCTGAACAGCTTCGATCTCCAAGTCATAAGATAGTTAGTTAAATAGTTAACCAAATAGCTACCCGGACTATCTGCATTGACCCTTTTTGCACTAACTTCTTTGACTCATCAAATACGCTGCTGTTACTGTTTATTATTATTATAATTATTATATTATTATTATTATTATTATTATTATTATTATTATTATTAATTATTATTATCTATCCTGTTGCCTAGTCACTTTATTCCTAGTTATATGTACATATCTACCTCAATTACCTCGTACCCCAGCACATTGCCTCGGTACTGGTGCCCCTTGTAAATAGAAAGTTATCGTTTCTCAATGTGTATCTATTATTACTTTTATTATTACGTGTTACTTTTCTATTATTTCTCTATTTTCTTTCTCTGCATTGTTGGGAAGGGCCCGTAATTAAGCATTTCACTGTTAGTCCACATCTGTTGTTAATGAAGCATGTGACAAATACAAATTGATTTGATATCGTAACCACTAACAGACATTCTAACCACTAACAGACATTAATTGAGACATGCATTTGCACTGTGACTGGCTCAACTCCCTATATTACTATAGTAAATATAATAACTTCCATGAGCTAATCACTATGTGACCTAATTGGGCTATCCTAAAGGGCTTCATATGACAACGCTAGTCAGCACTGCTAATTTATTCGCCATAAACTGTCAAAAATGCTTATGTCATGTAATGACATGTTTATAACACGGTTACACAGGTTTTATAACCTATAATTGAGTTAATGGTGTAATGGTTTATACTAATGACTGTCACATGTATAAAGTATTTACTTTTCACAAATTGTGACACAGCAAGATGCCTCACTGCCTTCTTGTTTTGATTCAACTCTTGTATTGTGAAAACAACTAGACAACAGATCTGTGTCTCAGAACCATAGAGCTGTTGGATAGGGAGTGCTATAGTAAAGTCATCATCTGTGGGACTGCGCTGCAGCTGCAGAGTAAATCCACTCAGGCTATGACAGGGCTGGTGGGTGTCTGCAAGTATGAACAGCTAGGTTGTAATTCAGTATGAATCATGCTCTTGCCCTCTCCCCAAGTAACAGCAAGTGCCCAGTTCTGGCTCATCTTAAACTGTGAGGGTTTTTGAGGGTGTGTGAGGGTATGTGTGTGTATGTATGTGTGTTTGTGTGTGTGTGTGTACGTATGTGTGTATGTATGTGTGTTTGTGTGTGTGTGTGTGTGTGTGTGTGTGTGCGTGCGTGCGTGTGTGTGTGTGTCTGTGTGTGCGTGCGTGTGTGTGTATCCGCTTATGAACTCAGCCACTGGGATCCCAGCTTGGGAGTCACTTTGATCTCAATGTTTCTCCATTAGTTTCTCAAGGGATTTTGGATTTTGAAACCCAAGTGTTCTGGTTTGGTGTATTGGGTGTAGTTAGTTAGTGGGTGTGGGTGGATGGATGGGTGGGGGAATCAATATAACTTCTAACCCATTTTGGTAATACAGCTTTGGTACCAAAAGGATTAAAGTGCAGTGCTCCTCAACAATTATGAAAGACAGTCAATAAATATGGGATCAGTTTCAAACCCACAACCTGTACTTACTGGAGAAATACAGGTTTCTGAGGAATAAGGGTTCGTTTGAGTATCCTTATGGTTCTTACTCCTTGATCTCAAAGGCCAGGTTGAAACTGTTGCATGTGCGCTACAGGAATGTTTTTATTTCTGCATCATAGGTGTTCTCTGACGCCCAACTTTGATCAGGACTTCCTCTGGGGATACTGTGCACCTGAGACCACTCAACCCATTGGTGAGAGGTCATTCTTGTAGAATCTGTGGACAAGACTTCATGGTCTACAAAGTCTATGTTGTCTCTGTGTATCTATATGATCTTAAAGACACATTTGCTGCTATTTACAGTAGTGGCATGCATAAACATCATATTTTTTCATCACTAGCAAGGTTTCCATCCAATTAGCGACAGATTTTCATGTGAATAGAGTCCGTATAAAGAAAATATGCAAATGTTCCCACCAAATAGACTTGTTGCGGATAAAAATCGGTGCGTGATGACGTAGTGCATACAAAATGTACCTTTTCGCTTAAGTTTTCATGTACCGAATAAAAATCTAAAGTTCAATGTGTTTCCATCACATTTCCAACTCTACCGATAGTTTTGTCACAAAAACTGTTGCGTTAAATAGCAAATGTGCCTACTCTGGTCTTGGCACCTGCGCTCTAGCCAACAGCTGGCAGATACAGTCTAGTCTAACTCCCGAGTGGCGCAGTGGTCTAAGGCACTGCATCGCAGTGCTAACTGTGCCACTAGAGATCCTGGTTCGAATCCAGGCTCTGTCGCAGCCGGCCGCGACCGGGAGACTAATGGGCGGTGCACAATTGGCCCAGCGTCGTCTAGGGTAGGGGAGGGAATGGCCGGCAGGGATGTAGCTCAGTTGATAGAGCATGGCGTTTGCAACGCCAGGGTTGTGGGTTTGATTGCCACGGGGGACCAGGATAAAAAAAAATATGTAATCACTAACTGTAAGTTGCTCTGGATAAGAGCGTCTGCTAAATGACTGTAATGTAATGTCTACATGATGAGATTATTATGGATAAGAGCGAGAATATTTGTATTTGTCAAACGGCAGTCAAGCATCGATCATCATGTCATCAGAATAAGACCCCGCGGATGGTTGAGGTGCAGCTCTCGGGAAACTGTGGGGGGGATCTTGGAGGGCTGGTGACCTGGTGGTTGGGAGCTTGGGCCGGTGGCTGATAGGTCGCTGGTTCGGGTCCCCGTTTTTTGACCTTGTGGGAGATCTGTCGACGTGCCCTTGAGCAGGGTGTTGACCCTGGTTGCTGCTGTGGGTCGCTCTGGATGGGAGTCTGTTAGATGACTGAATGTGGTGTAGATTTTGAGCGGCTTCACTGCAAGTAGATTGTATGTTTTAATATTTTAAAATATATATATATATATATATATATATATATATATATATACACTACTGTTCAAAAGTTTGGGGTCACTTAGAAATGTCCTTGTTTTCGAAAGAAAAGCAAATATTTTTTTTGTCCATTACAATAACATCAAATTGATCAGAAATACAGTGTAGACATTGTTAATGTTTTAAATGGCTATTGTAGCTGGAAAAGGCTGATTTTTTATGGAATATCTACATAGGCGTACAGAGGCCCATTATCAGCAACCATCAGTCCTGTGTTCCAATGGCACGTTGTGTTTGCTAATCCAAGTTTATCATTTTAAAAGGCAAATTGATCATTAGAAAACCCTTTTGCAATTATGTTAGCACAGCTGAAAACTGTTGTGCTGATTAAAGAAGCAATAAAACTGGCCTTCTAGTTGAGTATCTGGAGCATCGCAATTGTGTGTTCGATTACAGGCTCAAAATGGCCAGAAACAAATAACTTTCTTCTGAAACTCGTCAGTCTATTCTTGATCTGAGAAATGAAGGCTATTCCATGCGAGAAATTGCCAAGAAACTGACGATCTCATACAACGCTTTGTACTACTCCCTTCACAGAACAGCGCAAACTGTCTCTAACCAGAATAGAAAGAGGAGTGGGAGGCCCCGGTGCACAACTGAGCAAGAGGACAAATACATTAGAGTGTCTAGTTTGAGAAACAGACACCTCACAGGTCCTCAACTGGCAGCTTCATTAAATAGTACAAAGAAAAAGCCATATCTCAGACTGGCCAATAAAAATAAAGGATTAAGATGGGCAGTCTGAGATATGGCTTTTTCTTTGCAACTCTGCCTAGAAGGTCAGCATCCCGGAGTCGCCTCTTCACTGTTGACTAGACACTCTAATGTATTTGTCCTCTTGCTCAGTTGTGCACCGGGGCCTCCCACTCCTCTTTCTATTCTGATTAGAGACAGTTTGCGCTGTTCTGTGAAGGGAGTAGTACACAGCGTTGTATGAGATCTTCATTTTCTTGGCAATTTCTCGCATGGAATAGCCTTCATTTCTCAGAACAAGAATAGACTGACGAGTTTCAGAAGAAAGTTATTTGTTTCTGGACATTTTGAGCCTGTAATCAAACCCACAATTGCTGATGCTCCAGATACTCAACTAGTCTCAAGAAGGCCAGTTTTATTGCTTATTTAATCAGCACAACAGTTTCCAGCTGTGCTAACATAATTGCAAAATGGTTTTCTAATGATCAATTAGCCTTTTAAAATGATAAACTTGGATTAGCAAACACAACGTGCCATTGAAACACAGGACTGATGGTTGCTGATAATGGACCTCTGTACGCCTATGTAGATATTCCATAAAAAATCAGCCGTTTCCAGCTACGATAGCCATTTACAACATTAACAGTCTACACTGTATTTCTGATCAATTTGATGTTATTTTAATGGACAAAAAATGTGCTTTTCTTTTGAAAACAAGGACATTTCTAAGTGACCCCAAACTCATCACCGTGCACTTTCACCACCCTGTGAAGTTCATCATCATTTATTTCATCTGTAGTTTAATAAACTGCATGGTTTCCACAGTCGAAATGGGAGGATCACACACCATATCATCGCGTGACTCCAAATTTACTTCGATATGATGGTTATTATATCAATATTTCCACCGCCATTTCCCGCCTTATCAATTTTACCAACACAAAAAGATCCCACCATGTCGAACGAACAAATGATCTGTCGGCATTTATAAAATTACACCAAAACTATTTTTTTATACGATTTGACTTTACTCTCATAAAAACTGTGGATGGAAACATGGTTACTCTCAATCTTAGTGTATTTTCCACATTTTCCTCCTTTGCATTAATTTACTACTTCTACTTCTCTTACAGTGTTAAAATGAAACACACCAAAGTTGGTCAATACTTTATTCTTACGTTACTGAAGTAACATGCTGTTTCTTTCTAATGTTTTCACTAATGTTCTCAGTTTTTTGTTGTTTTAGTGTTCATCCACTCATCACGCAGATTCACAGACCCGTGTCAGGTGAATCCATGTCAAAATGGCGGCATCTGCACTCTGGTCCCCTACAGACACTCCTTCGAGTGCTCCTGTCCAGAGAGCTTCACCGGGAGGCACTGTGATCAGAGTGAGTAACTTTCAGTATCATACTTTCTATATGGACTTGTGTTTCAAAGCAGTTTCAATTAAACTAAAGCAATTATACATTTTAGTTTAGAGTCAATTATCAATGGGGTTTTACTCTATATCCAGAGTTTATTTTATCATTGAGGTATGACAAAGTGTGGGTGTGGTAGAGAAACTGCCTTCCCTTTTGAGAAGTACCTTTAGTGCATTGACCCATATCTTGCTCTTCACAGTGCCAAACATTTACCACAAAACATGCCCTCTAACTCCTCATTGACCTGTTCACTTTCTCCTCCTCTCACGTTTCACCCAACTACCTATTATCTCACTATTCTCCCCTTTGTCAGGGAATTGCTATGAAACCATACACCTGAGATATTATGACATTGGAGAATCCTGGGGAAGGATCTACCTCCGTAACGTGGAATGGTGCACATGTGTGGATGGGGAGATCTCCTGTGAGAGAGTCCGCTATACTGGTAAAAGACATGCTTGCTTTGATCCTTTGTTACTTTAGCCCACTCTCCTTTTGAGGCCCCTCAGAACGCGTGAGAGAAACCTCTCAGCCAAAAGATAAATCGCCTCACGTTCACCTCACGAGATAACAAAAGCAGAGTTGGCCTTCTCTTTAAATCTACTCTCCATGGTTAGAAGTGTAGCCTTGCTGTAGATGAAAAGACAGATTACATGACTCACCATGAGTAAGAAGCGATGTGTGAGATACACCCAAATCTCGATGAAGGTGCTTTCGTCTCTACGGTGGACGTTTTATGCGTGTTTAAATTATTTACTCTTACAAAAGAGAAAGGCACTCTGGAGAGCCCCTTGGACCAAATCTGTTTTGTTTTGTCATGGTATTAAGGATTAAGGTTCTGCAAACATTTTATTTAGCGCTATTGTTTCGTGCCCCCCACCTTCCCAGCCTGTTAAGTAGTAAGGGCGGCAGGTAGCTTAGTGGTTAAGAGCGTTGTGCCAGTAACCAAAAGGTCGCTGGTTCTAATCCCCGAGCTGACTAGGTGAAAAATCTGTCGATGTGCCCTTGAGCAAGGCCCTTAACCCTAATTGCTCCTGTAAGTCGCTCTGGATAAGAGCGTCTGCTAAATGACTAAAAATGTAAAGTAGGCTTTTCCCACTCATACTGCCCCCACATGGACACTCCAAGAAATACATGTCAAATCAGACACCTACACCAGTGTTTGCAAATGCATTTCTCCCACTCTACTTTTGCAACCCTTAACCATAAGTGCTCAAACGTAGGTAGACTAATGCTTCATGTGTGTTTTGATCAAAGTTAACACGCTGATGCAAGACCAGCTCCTGTGTTTATCATGCAGTGGCGGGAGGCAGGATAAGGGTGGTTGGAACTGATCCCAGTGCTGTGGTTTGTCATAATGTAATATACCTGATGAAGTGTGTAACTGTCTTTAGTCTGTAGTGAGAGCCCCTGTGAGAACGATGGTACGTGCCGACTCATCACAGCCACCAGGAAGGAGGTGTGTGCCTGCAGGCCTGGCTACAGTGGACCCTACTGTAGCATCGGTGAGTCCAGCCTCTACATGCTAACACAGTCACTGTTAGATTTACATTGCTAGGTTAGCCTAGCTTAGCATAGCTTTAGTTTAGCATTACTGGTCTGAGCCAGAGGTCATACACTGGGATAGAGAAGACATTTTATGATGTTTATTCTACTCTGTGACTACATGTAGACTATAAACATTTAGATAGTCCAATATAAATAAGGTCAACAGATAGACACGCACAAACTCTCATAAACAAACACAGGAAACGGTGATATACTGTCTCATCTCCCACATCTCTTGTTGTCATATGCTATGACAACAAGGGCACAGACTACTGTGCCATGGTGGGCACCACCATCTCTGGTGCCCGCTGTCTGCCGTGGAACTCTGACCTGCTGCATGATGAACTCCACGTGAAGAGCGCCCCCCTCAGGGGCTTGGGGGAACACTCCTACTGCATGTGTCTGTGCAGCATTACATTTTTACATTACATTTTAGTCATTTAGCAGACGCTCTTATCCAGAGTGCATACAATTTTTTATTTTAATTTTATTTTTTCATACTGCCCCCCCGTGGGAAACGAACCCACAACCCTGGCGTTGCAAACGCCATGCTCTACGAACTGAGCTACATCCCTGCCAGCCATTCCCTCCCCTACCCTGGACGACGCTGGGCCAATTGTGCGCCGCCCCATGGGTCTCCCGGTCGCGGCCGGCTACGACAGAGCCTGGATTCGAACCAGGACCACTGCGCCACTCGGGAGGTGATTACGTTGTCTTTATTTCTTTATTGACAACCAACCTGGCAACCCAAAAGAGAAGCTGAAGTCTATGCTTCATGCCCGTCATGCCAGCACTATCTCACCACTATCATTCACCTCCCCGTGTCTGTCTGGCCTTGATAGTGATATGGTCATTCACCTTCCCTTGTCTGTCTGGCCTTGATGGGGATATGATCATTCACCTTCCACTGTCTGTCTGGACTTGATGGTGATATGATCATTCACCTTCCCCTGTCTGTCTGGACTTGATGGGGATATGATCATTCAACCCGGTACAGCCAGAAAAGGATGGGCCTTCCCTCTGAATTTTTTCTTGGCACTGTGCTTCTGCTTGCTCTTTGGGAGTCCAGGCCGGGATACTGTTAACATGTGTCCAGAAACCCAGATGGGGACAAGATGCCGTGGTGCTACACATTCAGTGATGGAGCCATCTCCTGGGAGAACTGTGATGTTCTGCCTTGTGTCAAAAGTTTATGTGAGTAACATAAGTGCTCAGGACTGTAGCCAGGGTCAGAATTTTTGTGAGGTCCATGTTATTTGGACAACAGCAAAAACAAGCAGAAATGACCCCAGCCATTATCACATTGGTTGCTGTAGCTTCATTAATCTCAGTCGATCTACAAACACATAGCCTTTTAGCTATACAATTAGCTGCTACACATTAACTCACATTAACTCAGCACTGAGATTAAAAACTATAATTTAATATGTACAGATCTGTTAGCAGAAAAAAAGTTTTTATTAGCAAAAGTTTTACAAATACGTTTGCTTTACCTAACTTTTTTTTATTGCAGTGTTATAGCAATTTTTCTGCAATTCTACACATTTTAACATTGACTTATGTCATGTTAATATGATATCTGAGTGAGAGTGACTAACAAAATCAATGCGTGCCTGCTGAAGGTCAGGGCCCCTGGGCATGTGCCCTGCGTGCCCAGTCGGTAATTCGGCCATGATTACTAAAAGTTTAGATAGCTGGCTAGACTAACTAGCCTAAAAATGTTTTACTGACATGGGCTAATTGAGTGACTGTCAGTGAGTGACATAACAAGAGGAAAACTGCTGATGCACTACCAAGTTTTAAAATTGCACCTTGTGTATTCTACTATTCTAATTCCTTGAAAAAATTACAGAGGTCCGGACCTCAGTGTCCTCATATGTAGCTACGGCCCTGTAAGTGCTATAATGGGGCGTCGTGAAAGCAGTGGGTTTTTTAGCTGCTACACTGGAGGCTTAATTTTTCACTGCGTGAAAAGAGAGCAAGCCACTTAATCAAATGTTCTCAGGCGTGAGCCGCGTGTAGAAATCTTGAAAAAAGAACCAGAGCATAATTTTAGATTGAGCTGAGAAAGCTTCTCGCGGAGCAGCGCTGCTTACGCCCAGGATATATTGAAAACAATGGGCATGTTTCAAGCTTGGCAAAAGTTACGTGTCCAGTGTAGCAGGCCTGTAAGGGGTACTGGATATGCTGCTCAGACACTTTTTAAAAAAGTGGTTGGGGTGTGGGCAGTGGGGGAAAAAGTACACAATTGTATTACTTGAGTAAAAGTAAAGATACCTTAATAGAAAATTACTCAAGTAAAAGTGAAAGTCACTGGTTTGAAATATACAATAGTATCAAAAGTACATGTAATTACTCAAATATACTTAAGTATGAAAAGTAAAAGGAAAGTATAAATCATTTCAAATTCCTTATATTAAGCCAGGGACACACTCCAACACTTAGACATCATTTACAAATGAAGCATTTGTGTTTAGTGAGTCCGCCAGATCAGAGGCAGTAGGGATGACCAGGGATGTTCTCTTGATAAGTGTGTGAAATGGACAATTTTCCTGTCCTGCTAAGCATTCAAAATGTAACAAGTACTTTTGGGTGTCAGGGAAAATGTATGGAGTAAAAAGTACATTATTTTCTTTAGGAATGTAGTGAAGTAAAAGCAAAAGTAGTCCAAAATATAAATAGTAAAGTAAAGTACAGTGCAAAATTTGAGGTTTTCAAATGCTATTCATTGAATGAGACTGATTGTCGTGACTCTGGTCTTGTCATATCACAATGAATAACCTTGTTCGAGGACTTCATTTAAAGGATTGATTGATTATACATTTTGTGGATAAAGCTTACTTTAGAAAATAGAGTTGAGTTAAATGTCTCCAATGAACCTGCTTCAAATTATAGAGCTCGGCGAGTCTCTCAGATCCGTGAGGGGCTTTGTCTTTTATCAAGGGTGAAATATGCATTTGGCAGTCTTCAATTTCTTCTCTCTTAAAACCTTTACTGTATTATTATGAGCTATGAAGAGTTTGACAGCATTTTGAATCCCACCAGCAGCTGCTTCTCATTTAAGTGGAATAGAACATCCTCTCTCTTTATATTCCCTCCAAAAAATATTGTTCTCCGCTTTAACAGAACTATGACATAACCCATGACCCTACGCCTCTGTAACATTCAAAGCACTCTGCTTAAAACTTTTTTATTAAAAAATGTCTGCATTGGTGATAAAAATAAGTTTATTGGAATTGTACTGCACTTACCTTCCCTGTGCCAGAAGAGAATGTTAACTTTACATAGGTACTGTTTCAATAGAAAGTCAGAATAGTAACTTGACACAGCCTACTGTTTGAAGAGAATGGGTTAGATGAGAGGAAGTAAGAGTCACTCAGTGTTGCCAAATGCTTCTATAGTGACTGGGACAACTTGGCTCTGTTATATCGATGTCATAATGCCATGAGTATGCACAGAAAGCACATTCTTTGGCCAACTGCTATTTCACCGCTTCATTTAATATTAATTGTTGGGTGGCAAATTGTATGCTATTCAGAATTTCTGACAATGCGTTATTGGGATTATTTTTTAATATTTTCTATAAAACAGCTCTATTTGTTGTTTGTCTTTTCAGGGGAAAATGAGCCACTGGTAAAGTCCAAAATGATAAGAAGAGGTATACTTAGCAGCCTTGGCTGTAGCAATTAACTGTATTTAGCCCAGTTACTCCAATTGTGGGAAGCAGGCTGGTAGGTAGTAGTAGTAAGCCTAGTAGTAGTAGTAGCAGTAGTAGCAGTAGTAGTAGTAGTAGTAGTAGTAGAAGTAGTAGTAGTAAGCCTAGTAGTAGTAGTAGTAGCAGTAGTAGCAGTAGTAGTAGTAGTAGTAGTAGTAGTAGTAGTAGTAGTAGTAGTAGTAGTAGTACTAGTAGTAGTAGTAGTAGTAGTAGAAGACTACTACTAGTAGTAGTAGTAGTAGTAGTAGTAGTAATAGTAGAAGACTACTAGTAGTAGTTTAGTAGTAGCAGTTTACAATTTAGTATTACCCTATCACATGTTGACAATGAAGTCAATGCTCTTCAGTTAACGTGAACTGATTAGAAAGGAAGCCCTTGTAAACTTAAGTCTGCTTCCATATTATTTTACACAGCTTCTTTGCAGAGAGTGGTACGATTGCCACAGCTGCCACCGCTACCTAACGTCCTCCCTGACACCAACCAAATCAACCACACCAAGCCAGACAAGAAGCCTGTGTGCGGAAAGAGGAATAATAAGAGGATATCGGTGGCCAGGGGTCGTATCCTGGGTGGCAGCTCTGCCCTGCCCGGTACCCATCCCTGGATGGCAGCCCTCTACATAGGAGATGACTTCTGTGCGGGCACCCTGGTCTCATCCTGCTGGGTGGTCTCTGCTGCCCACTGCTTCTTCCGGAGGTACTGTAGAATTAGAGCATATAGACACTACAGATGTAGGATCTTAATTTGATCACCCTGTTGCAGGAGAACTTTCCTGCAATGCAGGACATTTAAAACTTGGAAGTTTATTTGAGATTTGAAAAGGTTTCTGAAGTTTGTAATTTCCACTTTGTAATGTCAGACTTGATTTTCCCCTACGAAAAATGTACACTATATATACAATAGTATGTGGACACCGCCATGCAATCTCCATAGACAAACATTGGCAGTAGAATGGCCTTACTGAAGAGCTCAGTGACTTTCAACGTGGCACCGTCATAGGGCACCACCTTTCCAACAGGTCAGTTTGTCAAATTTATACCCTGCTAGAGCTGCAACACTCACTACCGAGTTCCAAACTGCCTCTGGAAGCAACATCAGCACAAGAACTGTTCGTCGGGAGCTTCTATGAAATGGGTTTCCATGGCCGAGCAGCCGCACACAAGCCTAAGATCACCATGCGCAATGCCAAGCGTCGGCTGGAGTGGTGTAAAGCTCGCCGCCATTGGACTCTGGAGCAGTGATGAATCACGCTTCACCATCTGGCAATCCGACGGATCAATCTGGGTTTGGCGGATGCCAGGAGAACGCTACCTGCCCGAATGCATAGTGCATAGTGCCAACAAGTTTGGTGGAGGAGGAATAATGGTCTGGGGCTGTTTTTCATGGTTCGGGATAGGCCCCTTTGTTCCAGTGAAGGGAAATCTTAACACTACAGTATACAATTACATTCTAGACAATTCTGTGCCTTCAACTTTGTGGATACAGTTTGGGGAAGGCTCTTTCCTGTTTCACCATGACAATGCCCCAGTGCACAAAGCAAGGACCATACATAAATGTTTTGTCGAGATTGGTGTGGAAGAACTTGAATGGCCTGCACAGAGCCCTGACCTCAACCCCATCGAACACCTTTGGGATGAATTGGAACGACGACTGCGAGCCATGCCTAATCGGCCAACATCAGTGCCCGACCTCACTAATGCTATTGTGACTGAATGGAAGCAAGTCCCCGCAGTAATGTTCCAACATCTAGTGAAAAGCCTTCCCAGAAGAGTGGAGGCTGTTATAGAAGCAAAGGGGGGACAAACTCCATATTAATGCCCATGATTTTGGAATGAGATGTTTGACGAGCTGGTGTCCACATATCCCTGCAAAAATATCCACATAATAATTCACATTTCCTGCTGTAGCAAACTGGCTCAAATGAATATCCTACACCTGTACAGCACTATTTGGAGCATCCATTTGTGTTTATCATTTTTTTCACCTGTTTGTGTGTTATGCAACATTGAGTCTATTTGACCATAGAAATAGAGTATATAGAGTAGACAGCTGGCCACTACATCTGCATTTGTGTTTATTATTTTGTCACCTGTTCGTGTGGTATGCAACTATGAGTTAGTCCTACATTGCTTGAGGGACCAGGCACATATATAGGCCTTGTTAAATAAATCATTATTAATATCTGAGTAGTTAGCATGGAATGGTTGCCCAATAGTTGCACAGGTACCTAAGGCAGTGGAGAGGAGGGTATTTTGTGATTACTTTCACATTCAACCTTTAACCTCACATTTTGGCACAGCACACCACAGACACTAGTGGTCAGTACAGAGATTATTTACACTCTGGACTTTGACCTCAACATTGCCATTTTATGAACACAAACTATATTTAGACGCAAATATTCAGTTTGAGGAAAAGCTTAAAAACATTGGGTTTTCAAATGCCCTTTGTAGGCCAATAGGGGAGGATTTTCCTGGTTACTATGGTCTTGGGTCTTTAGGTTTAAACTTTTCAGTCCAGTCACTGTATGTATCAAGCATCTCAGTAGGAGTGCTTAGGATCAGTTTCACCTTTTAGATTACAATGACAAACATTACATGGACAGGGGGGACCTGGCCGTAGATCAGCACTCTTACTCTGAGACACTTAATACGTACAGCCCCAGGGTATTAATATCATACAAATGAAGTGTCATTGTATTCAATTTAATTCATGTGACATAATTATCCTACAATGTGCTACTAATGACAGAGAATGATGTGTCTGTCCTCAGTCCCCTTGTGTCAAAGATTCGTGTGATTCTGGGTCAGCATAAGTTCAACGTTACGACTCGTGACACCAAAACCTTTGGAGTGGAGAAGTACATCTTTCCAGAGCATTTCTCTGTTTTCAATCCAACTCTCCATGACATTGGTAAATATATTATGTCACGTTCCTATTCACTCACACTGACTATCATCAAACACACACGCAAACACTTTATAGCACACACTCAGACACTGACTCACACACATTGTCCTACACTACCACACTCGCCCACACACAGACTAACACAAACACTCACACATCCCAGTCTGCCTGTCTGCACTCACAGCTGTGCATCTTGGAACAGCTGGCTCCAATGTGAAGACACACACTGACACACACATTTTTGGTGTGACGGTCTCTGAGTGTCTGCGTCCATTCCAAAGGGACTTACACTTCTCTCATCTCTTGTTCTTCTCTTTTCTTCTCTTTTCTGAAAGCAAAACAGACATTATTCAGTAGTGCAGCCATCACTCTGTGATTTCATGATTCAACATTTGAATGACGATAACAGTACATCATACAGCATTCTATAACTTATTTGGATGTCTCACCCGATCAAGGGCGTAATCATAGGAAATGAACAGTGGTTCTCAATTTACCTTCTTAAAGGTTAAATACAGGTTCAATAAATAACACCTGCTATTGACTCTTTGTCACATTTCCCTGTGTTATGATGAGAATGTTTCTATTCCAACAGTTCTTGTGAAACTGAAAAAACAAGATGGCCGCTGTGTGAAAAAGAGCCAGTTTATACGGCCAATCTGCCTGCCCAATAAAGACATGACCTTCCCGGACTACTACTGCTGTCAGATCACTGGCTGGGGCCACATGCTTGAGAGTAAAGGTTGTATCAAAAACAGTCCTCTGCTACATTGTGCGTCTTTCACTCTAGTGTAGGCCTACTGGTCAGATATGTCATAACGGTCTTGAATGTCTTCATATCACCTTCAAAACTACACTGTAACATCTCAATGGATCAGATCCAATCATGTGCACTCACATATAGGCCCGTCCTTCATATTCATGTCTTTACATGAATGTCTCATGGATGACACTGTTTTCATATGTCTCATGGATGACACTGTTTTCACTGTTTTCACCCAATGCTTATAGTGTATGAGTCTATCCCAGTCATTACTGATTTATTTGTCTTATTTTTCCAAAGAGGTGAATAAATACACCAACCTGCAGGAGACCGGGGTGAGGATCGTCCCGTTTGAGAGGTGTATCCTGCCTGAAGTCTACGGCAACCGTGTGACCTCCAACATGGTCTGTGCTGGGACCAACCGATGTGTGGATGCCTGCCAGGTAAGAGTGCGTAGATCTAAAGCTTTCTGGACCCAAATTAGAATATAATTATATAGATAATGTTTTATTGTACATTGTACAGCCAGCCATGTGATAAGGATGTGTATTGAGCGATACAGTATAATATAAAGAGGAACCACTGGGCAATTTCAGTTTTAGTAGTGGGTTTACAGCACAAGCGGTTCTGCCTATACGCAGACAATGTGCTGCGCATAGGACCCAAGACCAATAGCATTTCCCCCTACACTCTATGGAAAAATGTGTAGAATTGCAGGACATTAACTTTAAAGCTGAAATTGTTCTCTCCGCCGCCAAAATGGGGGCCACTAAAATGTTTTGCCCTCAAGGTGGGTGTGGGGGGGCCCCCCCAACCAAATCTCGTTTAGGGCCCCCAAAATGCTAGAGGCGCTTTTGGTTCACAGAACATGCATATGGAGGCTGCTGTAAGAATTGCACGGCCTTCAGTTACTTTCTCTTTAATGAAAAGTTATGATTAACTTCTCACCTTGTTTATGTGTTGTAATGACAAATATTGAGTGTAGGTAGGAGTGCAATTTATGTATATTGGTGTGTCTAATATAACGTTTTTGTTTGTGTGTGTGCCTGTCCATGTGTGTGTGTGTGTCTGCGTGCGTGCCGGTCTGCGTATGTGTGTTCCCCCAGGGTGACTCAGGAGGCCCCCTGGCCTGTGTGAAGGATGATGTCAGCTTCCTGTATGGAGTTATCAGCTGGGGCGATGGCTGTGGAAAGACTGGGAAGCCTGGTGTCTACACCAAAGTCGTTAACTACGTGAACTGGATCAACACAATTATCAAGCGCAAGCCCAAGTCTAAATGAATTACAGCTGGTATTTTTATATGTACTATGTGTACATACTGTGGAAAGTAGTGATTTTTACACAACTGTGAAATAAATGTTATTTAGTTACTGAATAAACATTTTAAATGTTGTTAAATGTGTATGTCCACCTGTCTTGAAATTCCTAATTTGATGGGGTCCCTGTAACAATACATTATTTCTGTCTTAGTGAGCCACCCCCAGATGATAACTATTGAATAATTTATTAATTGGTATTAATCTTAGAGTCAATTGCAAGCAGGTTTTATTTTACTTATATTTCGATTAATATCACCTGTTGAAAAAACAGCTGTTGAAGTATATCCTGGAAAATTCCTTAATTGGGTGGGTGCGGTTTTGTGTGTTGGTGCCAGAGGGGGGTGCACGACGCGCGTGTACAATGGGTGAGTGTGTGCCCCTCACCAGTAGTCTAAAGCTATTTTGAAAGTGACCGCTCATTCGGGCACGGGACAGCGACACTGCAGCTGTTTGGAACCATGACTGAAGATGACGGATACGGTTGTCGTGGAAGGATATGTCAAATTCAGAGATGGAAAAAAGGTGTTTACAAAACGAAATAGTTAATTGAATTTGCATGTGCTTCGAAGTTATACCGCATTTTAACACTAGCGTCTATTTTGTACCGTTATCTCTTTCAGTGGAAGACTAGGTGGGTCGTACTTCGCAAGCCATCGCCTGTAGCAGGTACGTCGCTCATTCTGTTCTACATTTCAAAGCGCGTAATACCATACACGTTTCTGGAATAACAGCGTACAGCTTTACAATGTTTGTCTTCGTTACATTTATGTGGTAATTTAAAACCATTCGATTCGAAAGTTTACTGCTGTGGTCTATTTACTACCCTAGTAAATCGATAAATAACTTTCTGCTTGTCATTTGCTAAACATCCCAAATGAAAAGCAACTGGAAACATAGTTGCATTACTGAATGCCATGGAATGAAATATTTTCTAATGCATAGGCCACTGTGCTGACGATAGGTTCTAATTTCAGGTTGCTCATTCAGAACTTTGGCTATCCCGGTGGCCCCTGTATTAAAGTGCATGTGTTCTGGTAGGCTACTAGGCTACATTTAGAGGCTGCTGCTGCATGTGTTTATAACTGGTTTATAACCATGCATATCAGTCAATTAAGCTGGAAATACAATGTAGGAAATGTAGGCCTATAGTTAAATGTAAATGTCTGTAGTTTAAACTATAGTAGTTTAGTCTTCTGATTGGAAGTGATTACCTTTACTATGTTATTATTATTATTATTATTATTATTATTATTATTGTGTTTATTTATTATATGTTCATATATAATAGTAAATGCACTCTGGTGAAGTGTTGACTTTCCTTCAGTGCATGTTATTGTGATTGTGGGTCACCACATGAGTAGCCTACTATTCTCAAGTGGACATTATTTGCATGCATTGAAGACTTGCAGGGCAGCGGGCGCCAACTCTTTTGCACCATTGACTGACATTTCATGCTTTTAAGTGGGTTAACTCACAAAGATATGGGCTTTCATGTTCATCCACACTTTGATTATGTAACCGCAGTGGAAATAGATGGAGCGGCCATATTGTGTTACACTAAATCCTCCTTCTCTTTGCCTATCTGGGCTCTGCCCGTCCCTAGGTGTTTAATGGACTAGGCCGAGGTTGGATGCAACTATTCCTCATCCCTTTGAAGTCCCTGTTATCTCAGCTGTCCACAGTCATGCATGAGCTGTGTGTGTGTGTGTGTGTGTGTGTGTGTGTGTGTGTGTGTGCGCGCTTGGCGCCAGCGTGCGTGTGACAGAGATAATAAAAGGTATTGTTTTGTCAGTTGACACTGTGATTGTACTTCGAAAGTGCCAAAGAGAGGTGTGAGGAGGCCTCTGTCACTGACTACTGTCTGTCTTCATCGTGCCTGTACAGCCACAGTAAATGCCAAGCACCCAAGATAACTGTAAGCTACCCTCTGACTTTCATGCTATGTCAAGGGGTACTGGTACTTACAGTAGGCCTGTTATTGTTTTATCACCTTGAGTGATGATGAGGCTGGACTAAAGAACAATCAGCATGTTTTAAATGGCATAGGCCTATTATGTGATTTAGCCATGTCTTACAGGAGCCAGGTGCTGTCAACAGGCTGGCTGAAAGTGCAAAAGTTGCTTATTGAGTTATTGTGTTGATTGTAGCCTTCCAGGATATTATAGTGATGTCAGAGTCCTTTTGATCTTTTAGAAGCAGGCTAGACAATATGGTCCATTTATTTCAGCCGTATTTCTTCCCTAGACAGCAGGGATGCACTGAAGTCTGGGTATAAGAACTCACATTTTCCCTGCATCTCATCCTCTCACATCCGAACAGTCGGTACAATACACTGCACTACAATTTAGTACAGTACAATACAATACAGAACAGGACGATACGATATGATACAATACAATACACAGTTTAACTTTTTAGCCTAACTGTTCCAGGAATACCAGTTTTTTAAAAGCTCAAATTGATTCTCACTCCACCCTATTCCCTGGAAGGTTTCTCAATACTATGATAACTCAATGTATAACACACTTTTCTGGTTGTATTTAAGTTCCTGTCATGCTTAGCCTCAACATTCACCAACAACTAGGACTGCTTTTAGACTGTGAGCCAGGTTCCTGGACACAGATTAAGACTAGTCCTGGACTAAAAAGCACGTTCAATGGAGATTTCCTTTGAACATGCTTTTAAGTTTTAGTCTGTGTCCAGGAAACTGACCCTGTATGTTGTAGGATACAAATGTTATAGACCATCAATACTTTGTGAAACGTAAGGTTTTTGTTATGTTCTCTCTTCTCTCCCCATTTTCTTAGACTGTTTGGTACTTCTGGTCTACAAAGACAAGTCGGATAAAGCCCAGGGTCACCGGGAGAAGGGCAGCATCACCTTGGAGGATATCTGTGGTCTGGAGACAGGTCTCTCCTATGAGGGGGTGAGCTACACGCTGGCCATCCTCTGCCTGAGCCAGGTTGCCGTGCTGGGCTTCGACGGCAAGGAGGCTCTGCTGGCCTGGGACATCCGCGTCCGCTACAGTCTGGGAGAAGGTGGGATGGTTTCTTTTCTAAACTTGATTACAACCAAACATCACTTTTGGGAGCGTAAATTAATTTGGGGTTTTGTTTCTGCACTAGATTTGGCTTTTTTTTATTTTATTTTTTTGGTTTTTACAACCTAAGAATAGATTAATTGGTGTCCATACCATAGGTCTTTTCCACTTTGAAGTTTTAACTCCCAACAGGGTTTGTCCCAAAGTCTTATGCTTTTGTGTTTCTATGGTTGAATTACATGGGGCCAAAACAAAGCCTGGGGCTAAGAGAGTATTATGCCACCAGGTAGGTAGTAGATAATATGTATTACTCTGTGAGGCGTTGCGTCAAATCAGCTTGGTATAACTTGACCTGGCACATCGGTATCTGCTACAGCCTAGGCAACAGGTAGTCTGATGCGTAGGTCCTTGTTGACAGTGTTCTCCAATTACATACTCTTCTGGGTGACCCATGTGTTGTGTAATATGGATTTATGTAACATGGGCATCAAACCAAATAATGTTACAGTGAGGTGTTTTAGATGTGTTACAGTGAGATGTTTTAGATGTCCGTTTGATAACTGATTTAGTATGGAAACAAGGGGTATTACGGGTTGTATCTACTCATATCCCTGTCAGCACCTGGAAATACCAATTCATTTACATGTGTTTAGACTTTTCTATGCTCGGATGTTGTTTTAAAAGTTTAATAAGGCAATTGAGATTTTGTAGGAATCTCAGTGTCTCCACGGAGTCCAACTGAATTGTGTTGTGGAACAAATGAGTGTAAAAGAGGTCACAAATCACAGAGGTAATGAATCTATTGTGTGGAGTATAATTGGAATGGTCATGCGAACATATCACAGCTGCCCTGTGTGTGTGTCCCCAAAGTTTATGCCAATTTGTGTGTGTGTGTACAATGTGTATGCCAATGTGTGTCTGTTCCACTCCACTGTGTGTGTGTTCCACTGTGTGTGTGTGTGTGTGTGTGTGGTGATTGCCGTTCTTTGGTGTGAAGTGTGGCCAGGCACGTAGAAATGTCACCTGCCAGCCCGTGGCTGTGTGCTTTTGTTGTGAGTTGTGTCACCCCATGAATCTCTCTCAAACTGAGCGATGACATGCCGGGACTGGCCGACATTTTCTCATCATCGAAGCCATCAATCTCTCACCTAACAGAGTTTACTCACCGGTATCAGTCATGTGTTTTAGTATAGTTACTGTTTAGCATCGAGGTACTCCCACCTATACACATACTCATTCACTGTTTCTCAAACACTTAAAATCCAAACGCGCACGTGCGGGTACACACACACACACACACACACACACACACACACACACACACACACACCACTTAAAACATAGATAAACAGACACACAACACACGTTCCTACCCTGGCCAGGCCTGCCTTTCCTCTTATGTTGCTCATTAGCAAAAAGATTAACTCAATTACGTTGTTGTTTATGATAGGCTCTGATTGATTACATTTGGGCTTCAGATCTGAGCTCTACTCTGTTCTTAGTTCAGCTTACTGATCTCACTCTTAGCTTACAGACCTCACTCTCAGTTTACAGATCTCACTCTCAGCTTACTGATCTCACTCTCAATGCGCTCAACTGTTTCCCCTTCTTTTTATTGTGCAGTTAAATCAAAGCCATACTGGAGCAATAATGTTTGGAATTAAATAGTTTTCTCTATCCCTTTATAGTTATTGGCTACCATTGAAGCCGAGGGAGGCATAGTCTATAATGGGATGTTTTTATTAAGTCAATGACCTAATTTGTTTTTGTCTTGTATTTAAGTGGTTTTCAACTTATGTTCTTCTCTGTCCAGTCCACAGGTTCAGCGTTGGCATCTTACCAGGCACCAAGTTGGAGAGCGGGCCTGCGATTCTTCACTTGTGTAACAACCTACTGGTTCTGGCCAGGGACATCCCCCCTGTTATCATCGGCCAGTGGAACCTCCCGGACCTGCGCAGATATGGGCCTGTACCAAATGGCTTCGTCTTTGAGGGGGGAACGCGCTGCGGCTACTGTGAGTTGATTGATGTCGCTGTTGTTGTTGCGCTACGTCTATTAACCATTGTGCTGTTATTGTCTCATGAAAAAGAAGAGTGGCGTTGTCATTGGTGCTTTCCAGTTTGACATTTGGCTTCAGCATGTGGATCCTTTGAACCTAAGCCCAATGGCCTATAAGATTAATCTTGGACTGTTTTCTAAGAACTGACACAAACATCTATGTCTATGTGATCTGATGAAGTATTATGGAAGTAATAAAGAGGATGTATTTGCTTGAGCGAGTCATAAGAATACTATCCAATACAGTACATAACAGTATGTGACAACAGGAAATCATCCTCCACAGTAAAACTGTGATGGACTCAAATTCAAGTTGAATGTGGCATTGTGGCATTTAATGTAGGTTATACTGTATATGATGGTTATTATTTCCGATGACCTTTGGGTACTTTGAAAGGACTAAAGGCTTCATTTGATTGATCTATGATGATGAGGGGATTTAATGACAGGAAAGTGGACAGTTACAGAAGTTAATTCAAACTACACATCTAAGCATTTGTCTAGTTTTATTTCTCTCTATCAGTTTCATGCCTGATTCACATGCAGAGTATGTTGACATGTTCTTTCAGCCTGTTGTATCACACCACAAGTTGGTCTAACTGACATGTTTCTATGATTTATCTCATCTTTGGGACTTCAACCGTGTTTTCATTGAGAGCATGAAAGACACATTTGGCATTCGGAGGATTTAAATCATTACACTTCCATGGGTTTTTACTCTTTGAGTCCTCTACCCTGTTGGTACAGCGTGCCAGCTGGCATCTTTCAGATAGAGAACATTAGTGTCGGAATTACAACTAGTGACTAGAGGGATGAACAGAGTTGCTGGGTGTTTCTTCATTTTTCTGACTCCAGTGTAGCTGTCCTTGGGTCCAACTCACATTAACATGTGTATGTGATTTGCGGTATGGTATTTTGCAGTTTACATCCTGGAATAGACACAAAACCGTTAGAGGGGGAATGGATGCGTGTCAACACCTGGAGTGGACACAGACAGGCACGCAAAGTACGCCGCATAGCTGAAGACATCAGAGCAATATTAATACACACGATCCACTGGAAACACGAGACTCCAGTATGTGATCCGTGATTTATTTAGCTCCATTCAATCTTCTCCTAGAGGCGCAACTTAATATCGTGAAGGTCACATCGGGGAACGTTTTCCAATCCATGTGTCGTAAAAAAAAAAAAGGAAAGCACATCCCTTTTTCAAAGACGGGAAAAATGTTTGTGTGTACATGGGATCTACAGTGCATTCAGAAAGTATTCAGACCCCTTCACTTTTTCCACATTTTTCCTTATTCTAAAATGGATAAAATAGTTTTTTTCACTCATCAATCTACACACAATACCCCATAATGACAGGTTTGTAATTTGTTTTGCAAAATAATATACATGAAATATAAGTATTCAGACCATTTACTCAGTACTTTGTTGAAGCACCTTTGGCAGCGATTACAGCCTCGAGTTGCCTTGGGTATGACGCTACAAGCTTGGCACACCTGTATTTGTGGAGTTTCTCCCATTCTTCTCTGCAGATCCTCTCAAGCTCTGTCAGGTTGGATGGGGAGTGTCGTTGCACAGCTATTTCCAGGTCTCTCCAGAGATGTTAGATCGGGTTCAAGTCCGGGCTCTGGCTGGGCCACTCAAGGACATTCAGAGACTTGTCCCGAAGCCACTCCTGCATTGTCTTGGCTGTGTGCTTAGGGTTGTTGTCCTGTTGGAAGGTGAACCTTCGCCCCAGTCTGAGGTCCTGAGTGCTCTGGAGCAGGCTTTCATCATGGAACTCTCTGTACTTTGCTCCGTTCATCTTTCCCTCGTTCCTGACTAGTCTCCCAGTACCTGCCGCTGAAAAACATCCCCACAGCATGATGCTGCAACCACCTTGCTTCACCGTAGGGATGGTGCCAGGTTTCCTCCAGATGTGATGCTTGGCATTCAGGTCAAAGAGTTCAATCTTGGTTTCATCAGACCTGAGAATCATGTTTCTCATGGTCTGAGAGTCCTTTAGGTGCCTTTTGGCAAACTCCAAGCGGGCTGTCATGTGCCTTTTACTGAGGATTGGCTTCCGTCTGGCCACTCTACCATAAAGGTCTGATTGGTGGAGTGCTGCAGAGATGGTTGTCCTTCTGGAATGTTCTCCTATCTCCACAGAGGAACTCTGGAGGTCTGTCAGAGTGACCATTGGGTTTTTGGTCACCTCCCTGACCAAGGCCCTTCTCCCCCGATTGGTCAGTTTGTCCGGGCTGTAGGAAGAGTTTAGGTGGTTCCAAACTTCTTCAATTTAAGAATGATGGATACCACTGTGTTCTTGGGGACCTTCAATGCTGCAGAATTGTTTTGGTACCCTTCCCCAGATCTGTACCATGACACAATCCTGTCTCAGAGCTCTACGGACAATTCCTTCAACCTCATGGCTTGGTTTTTGCTCTGACATGCACTGTGAACTGTGGGACCTTATATAGACAGGTGTGTGCCTTTCCAAATCATGTCAATTCAATTGAATTTACCACAGGTGGACTCCAATGAAGTTGTAGAAACTTCTCAAGGATGATCAATGGAAACAGGATGCTCCTGAGCTCAATTTTGAGTCTCATAGCAAAGGGTCTGAATACTTATGTAAGTATGATTTTTTGGGGTTTTGTATCATTTGATTTACACAACATGCCTACCACTTTGAATATGCAAAATATTTTTTTGTGTGAAACAAACAAGAAATAAGACAAAACAACAGAACTTGAGCATGCATAACTATTCACCCCCCCCCCCCCCCCCAAAGTCAATACTTTGTAGAGCCATCTTTTGCAGCAATTACAGCTGCAAGTCTCTATAAGCTTGGCACATCTAGCCACTGGGATTTTTGCCCATTCTTCAAGGCAAAACTGCTCCAGCTCCTTCAAGTTGGATGGGTTCTGCTGGTGTACAGCAATCTTTAAGTCATACCACAGATTCTCAATTGGATTGAGGTCTGGGCTTTGACGAGGCCATTCCAAGATATTAAAATGTTTCCCCTTAAACATTTACATTTTAGTAGACGCTCTTATCCAGAGCGACTTACAGTTAGTGAATACATATTTTTTTTTCATACTGGTCCCCCGTGGGAATCAAACCCACAACCCTGGCGTTGCAAACGCCATGCTCTATCAACTGAGCTACATCCCTGCCGGCCATTCCCTCCCCTACCCTGGACAACGCTAGGCCAATTGTGCGCTGCCCATGAGTCTCCCGGTCGCGGCCGGCTGCGGCCGGCTGCGACAGAGCCTGGATTCGAACCAGGATCTCTAGTGACACAGCTAGCACTGCGATGCAGTGCCTTAGACCACTGCGCCACTCAGGAGTTTAAACCACTTGAGTGTTGCTTTAGCAGTATGCTTAGGGTCATTGTCCTGCTGGAAGGTGAACCTCCGTACCAGTCACAAATCTCTGGAAGACTGAAACAGGTTTCCCTCAAGAATTTTCCTGTATTTAGCACCATCCTCATTCCTTCAATTCTAACTAGTTTCCCAGTCCCTACCGATGGAAAAACATCCCCACAGCATGATGCTGCCACCACCATGCTTCACTGTGGGGATGGTGTTCTCGAGGTGATGAGAGGTGTTGGGTTTGTGCCAGACATAGCGTTTTCCTTCAAGCCAAAAAGCTCAATTTTAGTCTCATCTGACCAGAGTACCTTCTTCCATATGTTTGGGGAGTCTCCCACATGCCTTTTGGCGAACACCACACACCAAACATGTTTGCTTATTTTTTTTCTGGCCACTCTTCTGTAAAGCCCAGCTCTGTGGAGTGTACGGCTTAAAGTGGTACTATGGACAGATACTCCAATATCTGCTGTGGAGCTTTGCAGCTCCTTCTGGGTTATCTTTGGTCTCTTTGTTGCCTTTTTGATTAATGCCCTCCTTGCCTGGTCCGTGAGTTTTGGTGGGCGGCCCTCTCTTGGCAGGTTTGTTGTGGTGCCATATTGCCATATGGGATGTTCAAAGTTTATGATATTTTTTTATAACCCCAACCCTGATCTGTACTTCTCCCTGACCTGTTTGGAAAGCTCCTTGGTCTTCATGGTGCCTCTTGCTTGGTGGTGCCCCTTGCTTAGTGGTGTTGCAGACTCTGGGGCCTTTCAGAACATGTGACTGATCATGTGACACTTAGATTGCACACAGGTGGACTTTATTTAACTAATTATGTGACTTCTGAAGGTAATTGGTTGCACCAGATCTTATTTAGTGGCTTCATAGCAAAGGGGGTGAATACATATGCACGCAACACTTTCCGTTATTTATTCTTTATAATTTTTTGAAAGTTATTTTTTTTATTTCACTTCACCAATTTTGATTATTTTGTGTATGTCCATTACATGAAATCCAAATAAAAATCCATTTAAATTACAGGTTGTAATGCAACAAAATAGGAAAAATGCCAAGGGGGATGAATACCTTTGCAAGGCACTGTATATTGATGAGGATTATTTATTTAAAAAAAATTCAGAAAAGGCTGTAACGTAACAAAATGTGGAAAAGGTCAAGGGTTCTGAATACTTTCCGAATGCACTGTATACATGGGCGCATCTGAATGTTTGTGTCTTGAAGGGCACGCATTCCAGAGATACACTATATATACAAAAGTAGGTGGACACCCCTTCAAATTAGTGGATTCGGCTATTTCAGCCACACCCATTGCTGACAGGTGTATAAAATCAAGCACACAGCCATGCAATCTCCATAGAAAAACATTGGCAGTATAATGGCCTTACTGAAGAGCTCAGTTACCTTTCCAACAAGACCGTTCATCAACTTTCTGCGCTGCTAGAGCTGCCCCGGTCAACTGTAAGTACTGTAATTGTGAAGTGGAAATGTCAAGGAGCAACAACAGCTTGGCCGCGGAGTGGTAGGCCACACAAGCTCACAGAACGGGACCGCCGAGTCCTGAAGCGCATAGCGCGTAAAAATCGCCTGTCGTCGGTTGCAGCACTCACTACAGAGTTCCAAACTGCCTCTGGAAGCAACATCAGCTAAATAAATGTTCCTCTGGAGCTTCATGAAATGGGTTTCCATGGCCGAGCAGCCGCACACAAGCCTAAGATCACCATGCGCAATGCCAAGCGTTGGCTGGAGTGGTGTAAAGCTCGCCGCCATTGGACTCTGGAGCAGTGGAAATGCATTCTCTGGAGTGATGAATCACGCTTTAACATCTGGCAGTCCTACGGACGAAATTTGGGTTTGGCGGATGCCAGGAGAACGGCATATGCCCGAATACATAGGCCCCTTAGTTCCAGTGAAGGGAAATCTTAATGCTACAGCTAACAATGACATTCTAGACGATTCTGTGCTTCCAACTTTGTGGCAATAGTTTCGGGAAGGCCTTTTCCTGTTTCAGCATGACAATGCCCCCATCAACAAAGCAAGGTCCATTCAGAAATGGTTTGTCGAGATCGGTGTGGAAGATCTTGAATTGGAACACCGACTGCGAGCCAGGCCTATTCGTCCAACATCAGTGTCCGACCTCACTAATGCTCTTGTGGCTGAGTAGAAAACCTTCCCAGAAGAGTGGAGGCTGTGATAGCAGCAAAGGGGGGACCAACTCCATATTAATGGCCATGATTTTGGAATGGGGTGTCTACATACTTTTGGTCATGTAGTGTCCGTTGTCGCAGCAGATGGAGAAGTGGGGCTACAGTGTTACTGGACCTCTGGTTTGGGGGTAATGTTGCTGCATGGTGTCTGGTGGTGAACTGGCCTCTTCAGTCTTTCCCATGTAGACTTTCTTCAAGGCCAGGCTCAGCGTCCGTCTATAACAACTCCCAGTGTTGTCAAATATCAAAACTGAGACATTTCAAAGCCATGTTATGGCAATGGAAACAGGGATGGGTAACAAAGCTATACTGGTGGGGGAAAGAATCTGTTTTTTATAGAGCTGATCAAAGTATGTAGAATCACCCTGTCTTTTATCTTGGATAAAATAATGATACCTGCATTTGACATCTGACCAAAGATACTACTTCAAAACCCAGGATATTTCCGTTGAGAAATAAAGAGCTTTAACAATGCTTTTAAGGAGCAGAGACAGGGCCGTCTGAGTGCAGATGGACAGTAGTAAGTGTGTTGTTATATGACTTAGTTCTCACTCAGTGCTTTCATCTCCTGGTGCTGGTGTCAGTTAATGGCCGCTGCTTGGAAGACTGTCAACTGCCACTGAGCCTGGGTAAAAATAAGAGGACTAACATTGACTCTCGTTGCTTCGCCGCATAACTTATTTACACGCTTGTCTAAAAACCTGTCCCCCCAGCGAATGACGGCGCCTTGGTTTGGTCATATGGTTCTGACTTTATAAGGTAGAAGTGGAGATGTCCATTAAGTTAGGGTGGGGGTGGGGAGTGTGTGATGTGTGCTGCTTAGCTTTGTTGAAGCCTTTTCATGATGTCATCATTAAGGAAGTTAGTTATCTCACCTGTTGCTTGTTGTTGTTGTTGTTGTTGTTGTTGTAGCCGGAGCCTTGAGTTGTCCTCAAAGCACCACTCATTCCACTCATTCATTCAAAGCATCACTCAATGACAGAGGACTTTGCACTCATGTACTGAAATAAATCGATGCAGTAGTAGACATTGCAGCTATTGAACCCATTCATACTGTAAATGATACTCAAGTGAGATTATTAACTAACCTTTTGAATTGGCCATTTTACTCAGAACAGGATGATAGACGACAACAGATTACTGCAGACAGGAGATGTTGTAACCAGTGGAGGCTCCTCATTGGAGGAAGGGGAGGACCATCCTCCTCAGTGAATTTCATAGAAATAAAAATAGTGAAACATTAGTTATTCTTTTTAGATAAAACTATACTAAGTATATTCACGTCACCAAATAATTGATTATAACACACTGTTTTGCAATGAAGGTCTACAGTAGCCTCAACAGCACTCTGTAGGGTAGCACCATGGTGTAGACAGAGGACAGCTAGTTTTGTCCAATAGAAACTCTCGTTTGCAATTGTTGGACTAATGATTACACCCTAGATCAGCTTAATGCAGGCAAGATTGTGCAAGGCGGTATTGAATGTGTAAGTGTCTGTCACCTTCAAATTTCTCTCGACATGTGCACCTACGTTGTAAACTTTAATTCATAGGCTAGGTTGTAGCAACCTGGGTATAGGGAAAATGTGATTATCATGTAGTAGCCTAAAGCTATGGATGTCATCCAATATGCTGTAATAGAAATAAGGCCATGCTCATGAAAAAAATTAGCGTCCTCCCTCATCTTAAACGGCACCGACCCCACTGGTTGTAACATACGTCTTGAGTCCCCCTCAGTGTAAACATCTGAGTGGTCTTAGCTGCTAACCTCTGATCCCTTCTTAGGGTCGGTGGCATCTAAAGAATGTGACAGGGGGTAGCTCTGTGGTGGGTGGTCTCAGGACCAGGTGACAGAAGGACCCTTTTGGTGACACCCCCTGGTGTGTCTTGGACTTGGGAATGATGGTTAGCAGCCTTGGCTGTTAGCAGGGAGGGCAAGAGGGCAGGAGAGGTCCTGACCCATTAACCCTCACACCCTTGCGCCCTTCACCACCTTTACACTTTGAATTTGACATTTTGAGTGACCAGAGCTGTATATCAGAGATCTTGATTTTTGACTGTTCATTTGTGTTGTGTGAGGCTTTATTTAGCCTTAGGTTATTTAGCATACAGATGTAGGATCTTATTTTGATCACAGCAGGAAATGCAAACTTGTAGTGTATTCAAGGTTTGAAAAGGCTTCTAAAGACTTAATTTGCCCTAACGAAAAATGTATCAAGCTCTACAAAAATCCACATACTACACGGAACAAAAATATAAACACAACATGTAAAGTGTTGGTTCCATGTTTCATGACCTGAAATAAAAGATCCCAGAAATGTTCCATTCACACAAAAAACATATGTCTCTCAAATGTTGTGCACAAATTTGTTTACATATCCTGTTAGTGAGCATTTCTCCTTTGCCATGATAATCCATCCACCTGACAGTTAAGGCATATCAAGAAGCTGATTAAACAGCATGGTCATTACACAGGTGCACCTTGTGCTGGGTACAATGAAAGGCCACTCTAAAATGTGCAGTTTTGTCACACAACACAATGCCACAAATGTCTCAAGTTTTGAGGGAGCGTGCAATTGGCATGCTGACTGCAGGAATGTCCACCAGAGCTGTTGCCAGATAATTTTATGTTAATATATCTACCATAAGCATTGTTTTAGAGAATTTGGCAGTGCGTCCAACTGGCCTCACAACCGCGTTGTGTGGCCGAGCGATTTGCTGATGACAACGTTGTGAACAGAGTGCCCCATGGTGGCAGTGGGGTTATGGTATGGGCAGGCATAAGCTACGGACAACTAACACAATTTCATTTTAGCAATGGCAATTTGAATGCACAGAGATACCGTGACGAGATCCTGAGGCCCATTGTCTTGCCATTCATCCAGCGCCATGACCTCATATTTCAGCATGATAATGCACAGCCCCATGTCGCAAGGATCTGAAAATGTCCCAGTTCTTCCATGGTCTGCATACTCACCAGACATGTCACCCATTGAGCATGTTTGGGATGCTCTGGATAGATGTGGACGACAGCATGTTCCAATTCCCGCCAATATCCAGCAAATTCGCACAGCCATTGAAGAGGAGTGGGACAACATTCCACAATGGGACAACATTCCACAATCAACAGCCTGATCAACTCTATGTGAAGGAGAGGCAAATTATCTGGTTACACCAGATACTGGTTTTCTGATCCACGGCCCTACCTTATTTTTTTATGTATCTGTGACCAACAGATGCATATCTGTATTCCCAGTCATGTGAAATCCATAGATTAGGGCCTAATGAGTATGAACTGTAACTCAGTAAAATCTTTTAAATTGTTGCATGTTGCGTTTTTATTTTCTGTTGCTGCAGGATTATTTTCCTGCTGTAGCAAACTGGCTCAAATTAAGATCATACATCTGTATTCTGGAATGTAGTGGGTTAACATAATTTAAACTCAGCAGTTTTTTAATATCTAAAGAAGTTCAAGGCTGCTCTTATTTCACTATCTGGCTAAGTTGAAATGGACGTCAATTTGCAGATGGATGACAATCCAGAGTGGTCCATTCAGTCTGTAAACAAAATGAATGGGTGCTAGCTATTGGTGTGCTTGTGTGCCAACTGGCCAGTACAAAGATGTATCTCTGTACTCTACTTCCATCCAGTTATAATTGACCCAGAGGGATGTGGTAAAACATTCTATCTAAAGAGTGAAATGTGACATTAAGCCGGCGGACTATGTGTGTTTCCTACAGGGGCTGGCGTCTTCTTCCTATCGTCCATGGAGGGCGAGCAGATCAGCTTTCTGTTCGACTGCATCGTCAGGGGCATCTCCCCCACCAGAGGCCCTTTTGGACTGCGGCCAATCCTGCCAGGTCAGTACCAAGGGTGTTTACTGCTGCGTTGTCGCGGCTAGCTATACGGCTTGCCCAAACAAGTACATACAGACCAGGGTGGTGAATTTATAGGACAGGACATATGGGAGTTAGGAGTATTTTTATCACATTTCTGGGCAATTTAAATGGAGAATATGGATGAAATGTAGCCTCAATGTATCCTTGTGGTCATTCTGAGGTAAGTTATGTAGAGGTATATTATCCATTGTCTTTTCGCCTTCTGACTTGGCAAACACTTAAATTGAACATTTGCTGTCTTAATTAAAATTAAGCGTTCTTCAAGAGATACTTTGTGTGGGATTTATCCTCACTATAATAGTAGCCCACCATGTGCTTTCTGGAATGCAGCCACTTCCAGAGGTTGTTACACTGAGTCCCATGGATTCCATCCAATGTACTTGGATCCAACAGCATTATGACTGACAGCTGTTTTATACATAATTGGATTATCTGGATACAGACCATAATATTAGTGAATATAATCTGATAACCACTGGACTAACTGTACCGTAAGCAGCGTATACAACGGGGCCACCTTATATATATGTAATAGGATAACCACTGTACTAACTGTAATTATAGCAGCAAATTCAATCCAGTCACCTCTGCATAGTCTGTTGCGTCGTGAGAGAGGGGTTAGTGTGGGCGCTGCAGCTGTGGCTTGTCCCACTGGGTATTCCTGGTTTCACACATCCCCTCGGCCAATCAGGCCTTGAGCTCATCTCCTATTATTGTAGTCCGTAGTAGAATAAATAGCAGGGGACGATGTCAGAGGGAGAGCGGGAGGTCAAAGTCACAGTTCACACAAGCAGAGCGCACCAAACCCTTCTAATCACTCTGGGCATGTGTGTAACCTCATCCCCAGAATTCCTGTGTCCCCTGCTCTCCACCAGCACACACTCAGTGCCCCTCTCTCTCTCGTTCTCTCTCTCTATCTCTTGCTTTGTCTCTTTCACATTTTCCCCTTGCATTGCCCCCCATTTCTCTCTCTCTCTCTCTCTCTCTCTCTCTCTCTCTCTCTCTCTCTCTCTCTCTCTCTCTCTCTCCTCCCTACTCTCCTGTAAACACCACTGTCCCTTCTCGTGCAAGGGAACAGGGTTGTTGACAAGACGCTGAAGCAGATGCCAGCTGTTACGTCCAGTTGATTGCAGTCTTTTCATTAACCGTTAGATATGCCGGTATCACATAAATGGCAATCCATTTGAAATTCTCGAGGTAGTCTTTTGCCATTTGTATGTCATTTTGCCCTCTACTTGCACAATAAAAATGACAATGACCCTTGGAAATTACCCTTGACAAAATATGGGTTGACCAGGAAATCAATGTAACTTACCAATAACAGCTGACCTTGGGTTGGGACTAAGGTAACTTACATTAGATCCTCAGCGCAGTACTAACGATCCGTAGCCACACCATCTCCATTACGCGTACCACAGGGGCCACGTGGCAAGCAGTGCTATTAATAAACACATGTAGTGTTGCACAAACAGCAAGGTGTACCCCTGTGTGACCCTGTTCTCTATTACCTCGCTAAAGGCCTGGCATTCTCACCCTCACAGATAGAGGGCGACGTGACAGCATAACGATAACTCTAGCACTTGAGGTCGTCTCATTCTCAGTACTGGGTCATGTTCAGTAGGGCACACCGTAGCGAAAAGTTTTGCATAGGAAAACAAAAATCTGTGTTCTTATTGGATACGTTCAGGTATTACCTTTTCGGTTTGACTTCGTTTAAGATCTGTTTTCTTCCTACTGAACAGGACCCTGTACTGATACTGCCTGCCCTATTAGATGTGTGCTAGAGAAAATGTAACTTGTGTATACACTAGTAACCCTTCTGTTGATCACAGCTAGAGTGACCACATTTAAAATAACCAAATGCGGGACAAAGGGATGATTTTGCTGGACATTAATACATGTTTATTCCCCCACCCAAAAAGCCCAAACAAGCTAATTGTAGTGCGCCCATAGGCTATTTTTGTCATGCTGAAACGAGAGACCAAATGTGTGTCTGTTTTATGAAAATCTGGGAATTCTTGGCCAAGGAAACATTTCTGGTTGGCCTCAGGGAATGTAAAACAGTTAGGAAGGGAGACTTTGAACACTGGATTGAGTGAAGTAGCAGCAAATATGTTAAGTGAGCAACTAATGAACATGGAGAGCCTCTCAAGTTTGACAAAATCACCTTACATGTTTTCAGTTTAATCACCTTATATATATTTTCAGTCTAATACGGCTATTTACTTACTTTTGTAGCTCTTCCTCAGAAGCATGCTGTTTTAACTGTCCTCTCCAAGTTTAGCTGGAATTTCGACCGAAAGGATTTGACAAATGGGATTGGTTGACGATGACATTGGCCTCGCCTTACGCTGCGCTGGATATCAGATCTCAACAACGATTGGATTAGTGTTTAACATCTCCAGTACCACATCCTTATGATATACAGTACCAGTCAAAAGTTTGGACACACCTACTCATTCCAGGGTTTTTCTTGATTTTTACTATTTTCTACATTGTAGAATAATAGTGAAGACATCAAAACTATGAAATAACACATATGGAATCATGTAGTAACCAAAAAAGTGTTAAACAAATAACCACCCTTTGCCTTGATGACAGCTTTGCACACTCTTGGCATTCTCTCAACCAGCTTCACCTGGAATGCTTTTCCAATGGTCTTGAAGGAGTTCCCACATATGCTGAGCACTTGTTGGCTGCTTTGCCTTCACTGCAGTCCAACTCATCCCAAACCATCTCAATTGGGTTGAGGTCGAGTGATTGTGGTGGCCAGGTCATCTGATGCAGCACTCCTTCACTCTCCTTCTTGGTCAAATAAGGGCTGTGTAAGGGCTACACAGTGTGTTGGGTCATTGTCCTGTTGAAAAACAAATGATAGTCCCACGAAGCCCAAACCAGATGGGATGGCGTATCACTGCAGAATGCTGTGGTAAGCATGCTGGTTAAGTGTGCCTTGAATTCTAAATAAATCAACGACAGTGTCACCAGCAAAGCACCCCCACACCATAACACCTCCTCCTCCATGCTTTACGGTGGGAAATACACATGCAGAGATCATCCGTTCACCCACACCGCGTCTCACAAAGCCACAGCGGTTGGAACCAAAAATCTCAAATTTGGACTCCAGACCAAAGGACAGATTTCCACCAGTCTAATGTCCAATTTGTCACAGTCTCCTCTGAACAGTTGATGTTGAGATGTGTCTGTTACTTGAACTCTGTGAAGCATTTATTTGGGCTGCAATTTCTGAGGCTGGTAACTCTAATGAACTTATCCTTTGCAGCAGAGGTAACTCTGGGTCTTCCATTCCTGTGGCGGTCCTCATGAGAGCCAGTTTCATCATAGCGCTTGATGGTTTTTGCGACTGGACTTTTTCGTATTGACTGACCTTAATTTCTTAAGTAATGATGGACTGTTGTTTCTCTTTGCTTATTTGAGCTGTTCTTGCCATAATATGGACTTGGTCTTTTACCAAATAGGGCTATCTTCTGTATACTCCCCCTACCTTGACACAACACAACTGATTGGCTCAAACGCATTAAGAAGGAAAGAAATTCCACAAATTAACTTTTAAGAAGGCACATCTGTTAATTGAAATGCATTCCAGGTGATCTCATGAAGCTGGTTGAGAGAATGCCAAGAGTGTGCAAAGCTGTTATCAAGGCAAAGGGTGGCTATTTGAATAATCTAAATATAATATATTTTGATTTGTTAAACACTTTTTTGTTATGTGTTATTTCATAGTTTAGATGTCTTCACTATTATTTTACAATGTAAAAAATAGTAAAAATAAAGAAAAACCCTTGAATGAGTAGGTGTGTCCAAACTTTTGACTGGTAGTGTATATCTTGACAAAAGCGCAACTTGGACCTCTCGAGTGGTGCAGTAGTCTAAGGCAGTGCATCGCAGTGCTAGCTGTGCCACTAGCAATCCTGATTCGAGTCCAGGCTCTGTCGCAGCTGGGAGACCCATGGGGCGGCGCACAATTGTCCCAGCGTCGTCCAGGTTAGGGGAGGGTTTGGCCAGCAGGGATGTTCTTGTCTCATCGCGCACTAGCGACTCCTGTGGCGGGCCGGGTGCAGAAACATATTTATTTTGACTATTAATCAACAGATATAAACAGAATTTTGTCCATTCTACTGAAATGTCTCACAAGGGCCTAAACTGATATATTATTTTAGGATACTGTAGTAAATGACCAAAGAGCAGTAGAATATAGTTTATTGGAATTACTACACTGCTCAAAAAAATAAAGGGAACACTTAAACAACACAATGTAACTCCAAGTCAATCACACTTCTGTGAAATCAAACTGTCCACTTAGGAAGCAACACTGATTGACAATACATTTCATGCTGTTGTGCAAATGGAATATACAACAGGTGGAAATTATAGGCAATTAGCAAGACACCCCCAATAAAGGACTGGTTTTGCAGTTGGTGACCACAGACCACTTCTCAGTTCCTATGCTTCCTGGCTGATGTTTTGGTCACTTTTGAATGCAGGCGGTGCTTTCACTCTAGTGGTAGCATGAGACGGAGTCTACAACCCACACAAGTGGCTCAGGTAGTGCAGCTCATCCATGATGGCACATCAATGCGAGCTGTGGGACGAAGGTTTGCTGTGTCTGTCAGCGTAGTGTCCAGAGCATGGAGGCGCTACCAGGAGACAGGCCAGTACATCAGGAGACGTGGAGGAGGCCGTAGGAGGACAACAACCCAGCAGCAGGACTGCTACCTCCGCCTTTGTGCAAGGAGGAGCAGGAGGAGCACTGCCAGAGCCCTGCAAAATGACCTCCAGCAGGCCACAAATGTGCATGTGTCTGCTCAAACGGTCAGAAACAGACTCCATGAGGGTGGTATGAGGGCCCGACGTCCACAGGTGGGGGTTGTGCTTACAGCCCAACACCGTGCAGGACCTTTGGCATTTGCCAGAGAACACCAAGATTGGCAAATTCGCCACTGGCGCCCTGTGCTCTTCACAGATGAAAGCAGGTTCACACTGAGCACGTGACAGACGTGACAGAGTCTGGAGACGCCGTGGAGAACGTTCTGCTGCCTGCAACATCCTTCAGCATGACCGGTTTGGCGGTGGGTCAGTCATGGTGTGGGGTGGCATTTCTTTGGGGGGCCGCACAGCCCTCCATGTGCTCGCCAGAGGTAGCCTGACTGCCATTAGGTACCGAGATGAGATCCTCAGACCCCTTGTGAGACCATATGCTGGTGCGGTTGGCCCTGGGTTCCTCCTAATGCAAGACCATGCTAGACCTCATGTGGCAGGAGTGTGTCAGCAGTTCCTGCGAGAGGAAGGCATTGATGCTATGGACTGGCCCGCCCGTTCCCCAGACCTGAATCCAATTGAGCACATCTGGGACATCATGTCTCGCTCCATCCACCAACGCCACGTTGCACCACAGACTGTCCAGGAGTTGGCGGATGCTTTAGTCCAGGTCTGGGAGGAGATCCCTCAGGAGACCATCCGCCACCTCATCAGGAACATGCCCAGGCGTTGTAGGGAGGTCATACAGGCACGTGGAGGCCACACACACTACTGAGCCTCATTTTGACTTGTTTTAAGGACATTACATCAAAGTTGGATCAGCCTGTAATGTGGTTTTCCACTTTAATTTTGAGGGTGACTCCAAATACAGACCTCCATGGGTTGATACATTTGATTTCCATTGATAATTTTTGTGTGATTTTGTTGTCAGCACATTCAACTATGTAAAGAAAAAAGAATTTAATAAGATTATTTCATTCATTCAGATCTAGGATGTGTTATTTTAGTGTTCCCTTTATTTTTTTGAGCAGTGTATATCATTGCTATGGTGTGGTATAGATACTATGTTGACTGCTGGTAAAATAAAGGTAAAGTAAAATGAATACTGTTGTGTTTCACTCCGACAGACCCCAACGCTGCCGCCAACCAGGCCTACTCTGAGGAGAGGGTAAACCATGAGGCCCAAGAGCTGGAGAAACGCCTTAGCATGCTGTCTCACAAGAGCAGCACAGGTACATTACCTCACCATTCATTCTATTCCAGCCAGTACAAAGAGCCTGTCCTTCAATGCAAAATCATTACCGTTATTGCGCTGTACTGAAAGTGCTCTATCTTGAAAACTTGACTGCTGACATGCACCGTTTTTTGGGGATTGTATTAACAGTGGGCTAATGAACATAATACTACAATATAGTTTATGAGTGAACTATCCCTTTAAAGGCATCCACTGCTCACCATTCATCTACCTTCGACAACATATGGAACATGTATTAGAGTTAGTATTATTCATGACTAATCCATGGGAAATTAGACATTGCCCAGTAATGGTGCTTGTTGCATTAATGTAACTTTCTAAAAGTAAGTTTCTATAGCGTCATATAGAAATGTGTCTTATGTTGTTGATTTATTGTGAGTTATGACTGTGAATACCATCCAGGAAAGTGAGGAGACCTATTTTGGATAATCTGAAGTTATGCTTTATTGATGTGCTTGTGTAGATAAGGTGTATAAGTAATATAATTTTTATAGAATAAATCATCTGTTTTTTTTTTATGTTGTTTTGGAAGCCTCCTCCACGTATGGTCTGTCTGTGGCGGGAGACGACCGCAGCATATCAGGCTCCTCTGACACCTCTGACACCAGCCAATCAGACTCCAGCATCGGCAGCCGGCTGGCCATTTGGACTGAGCCTGTCACAACAAGCTCCGCCCCCACAGAGACCATCATTGGCCAGTCTGGGCCCAAGGTGGCCTTACAGGCCGAGGATAAACTGTCCGTCATCCAGGTGGGCGGAGCTCGTGCAGTAGCCAAGCCCCCTCGGTCCCGGCAGCTGCAGGAGATTGGTCGACAGAGCTCGTCCGACAGCGGCATCGCCACAGGAAGCCACTCCTCCTACTCTGGGAGTTTCTCCTCCTACGCGGGTAGCCTGGACATTGGCTCTGGGGGGGATGACTTTGGCTCCCTGCTCAGCCTGCCCCCTCACCTGGCCCTGGACCTGGCCCCCTGTACCTGCCCCCCAGCCCCAGGACACGAGTACCAGGTACCCACGTCACTGAGATACCTCTATGACACCCCCCGGAATCTACTGCAGGGGGGAACAGGAGGGGCCAGGGGGCACCAGACCTCCACAACATCTAAGGACCACGTGGCTAGTTCACCCCAATCACCCCCATCGTGTAAGTCAACACAGGGAGAGAAAGAGGCTCCTCTCGGGGGTCGCTCGGACACTGTTGTCAGGCGCTCAACGGCTGATCTCCTACAGGGGCACTCAGAGGAGAGTAAGAGCAGGGTGGCGCCGCCTAGTGACAGTCAACACCCGGACTCCCATCAGATATGCAGCAGTTCCCAACTCACTGCCTCCAAAACCCTCCTAACCATCTGCTCCACCTGTGGAGGATTCAAGGTACAGACAGCTGGGGTTATTGTATTTCCTTAATTCCTTCCCAGCTAGCACATAACGTTCTGAGAACCATATGTTTCTTAGAGCTTGGTGAAAGGGTGGTTGTCCTATGGTTATTTTGCATACAACCTTCCCACAAATGTACAGTACTTTAGCGTAACGTTTTCTGAATTTTTCCTCATGGTTCTATTTAAAGTCATGTTCTCAGAACATTAAGAAAACGTTCCAATAAAATAATAATTATTATAAAAACATATACATTCCATTCTCAGCGTCAACAAAACTCTCTCTATCCTCTGTCTCATTAAGTTTGTTCAGCTGTGTTAGCCACACCCACTAATTGGCCACACCTGATCTTAATGAGTGCTTGTTTTCTTTGAAATGTGATCTGTTTGAATAGACTAAAATGAACAGCTTTGTGTGAGTAAAAAAATACATGGCATGCTAGCTCCATCCTGGTGGGGCAGTGGCTTTAAGATATGGATAGAGAACAGAAGATCATAGGTTCAAATCTCACTGACCCCCATGCCACAATAAAAAAGAAATGTGTTTGAATGAATAAACAAATTGATTTCCATATGTCTTATCTGTGCTTGCAGTTCAAAACAGTTAAGCTAGCATTCTTACTAAAACATTTTCTCAGGACGTTATTTAATTACCTTCAAATAACCTATTATTTATTTTCTCAGAACCACCCTGCAACTACAAAATGAACGGTCCCAGAACAGGCGAAATGTTAACTTCCGTTCTCAGAACATTTAAAAAACGTTCAGTTTTACTGGTCAGAAAACATACGGTTTCGTTCCCAGAACCAACGAGAAACCAAAAATGTACTTCCAAGGAACCAAATCTGCTAGCTGGGTTGTGTGTCCTCTCTCCTGACTCTTCTCAAAACCTATTGGAGTAGAGGAACTTTTGATCCTCTCCTCCAATGCGTTTTGTGAAGGAGGCGAGGAGTGTAGACATGAATTAAGGAAATACAATTGAGATGCTGCCCTGTTTACTTCTATTAATCTATGGTTGAAAAGTGTACCCTTTGTTTATTTTCATCCAATTGACTGTATTCAACTGGTTCGTCTCACTTTTATCATCATCAAATTGATACAGTTTGCACCAAAATGTTTAATTTCTTCAGAATTGCTTTGTTTGTCTCATGAGTACCAACTACCAAAGTACAAAGATACTGTCAGCAGCTTTCGATTAGACTTCATCATTCAGATTCACAAAAAAATCTGTTTTTGATAGGAAAATGGATGTCAATTGCCTCCTTTTTGGTTTGTATCTGAATTTTAGCATTCAAAAACATAGCTCCCTCCCACTCTCATATAGCATATCCTTCCAACTCCAACTGCTCCTCTTGTGTAACAAGTCTTTATAACAGTTTGTATGACTGCGAGTAAGGCTTAGTCATCTTGGTATCACCTGTTGCCGGCTATTGCTGTCAATATGGCCCTTTCTGTGAAATCTCACAGCAATTGGTGTTGGAACATTAACAGTCTTGCTGCCTGTCTGTCTGGCAAGGTGTGCACTCTACTAACCATTTGAGGTTCTAGCTGTCCTTTCACTCAAGCAGGTCAGGAAATGCTCTTCTGTGCGTAGATGTTGTTCTTATAGTCTCTCAAACACTCCCATCTCTGTAAGAAGTGTCTTCATAAGAGCATCTGTGTCACCATAGTTACTGCTCTTCTAATTGGGCCTCCATTTTGGGATTGTACTATCAGTCTGGGTTGTCTTGGGCTTTTCAAACTGATACTCTTCTTCTCTCTCTGAGGTCATCCAAGTGCAAGGAATTGATTTGAACTTCTTCTCGTTACAAACTTTTTTTTCCACTGTCTTGGCTTGTTATGGAACCACAAGAAAGGATAGCCCTTCCGTTTGATCTTTGAAGATGAATCTCGTTTACAAGTGATTTACAACGTAAAGCCTCATACTCATATACTTTGAAAGAGGACTTATTCATATAAGGAGTATGACACATGATTAGATCCCAATTTATTCATAAAACCTTCTCTGTGGAATAAAATAACTGATTATAGTCATTTATCTTTTTTTTTATAGTCATCCAAAATATACCTCTTATTAAGCAGTGCTTTTGATTATATTGAAAAGACATCCAAATTAATGAATAAAATGTCAGACCATCAGAATTTCAAACATCTTAAAACAAAGTGCTCTTCTTTGGTCAAAGCGGGTCTGTTTCACTCTCTGATTAAACCACTTCAATTGATGTTTATGTTTTTTTCTACCCCGTATATGAGAGAAAACAACCATTTATATGTATTTTGTTTCCTCTGACTTGTCTTTAGTCTAGCCTTCAGTCTCTGAAATATATTTCCCATGAGTGATGTAAAGCTCCAGCCTTACAGTGCAACAATTCATCGGTTAGTTGCCTAGCACCAGTCCTATGGGATAAAGCATTGTGTGGGTGGAAATCTATCAACACAGTTGTAATACTCAACCTCAGCTCTCAGCTAGGAAAACAAAGACCGTTAAGGGCCCAAGGGTTCCAATAACTAATTGTAACTCTATGTGAATAAGCCATAGCAGCTCTCGTGTTTTTACCAATAGTCAATGCCCTAGCAATACTAATTGAAAGACTCTGGCACAAAAATTATATTGTGAAAGGAACTGTACCTGCTGACACTGTTTAGTCTAGTCTGAATTATTGAAGATGTTCTCTTTCCTCATCTTCTCACAGGGGACCCCGCTCTCCTACACTGGGGGCTCAGCAATGCCAGCCATACCAGGTTAGTCTGCTCCACTAGGTGTGTGTGTGTGTGTGTGTGTGTGTGTGCGCGCGCACCCGATGCCATGATATCCCTTCATTATTCCTGTCCAAGCATGAATTGATTTTTCAGACCTGTGTTTACTTTGCAGCATGTTTAGATAAGTAGTTTGTTCTTATGACTGAATCCCATGAATTATTAAACCGTTGTGCAGATTTCCTAATCTGTGTAACTAGAAAGGAGATGCGTTAAGCTCCAAGGACAGAACCTATGGACTGAGGATTGGCAATTGCCTCAGAACCTCCCATTTTGAAAATCCAGCAGGTGAAAGTATTGATAAGTGCCCGTGCAGACCCACCAGCAGCTCCTCAGAATACATCAAGGTTGACGCACTGAAGAAAACTACAGAGACCATGTCCTCACCTGCCTCAGTGACCAATCACAGCTCTGAGAAGCTAAAGAGGAGGAATGAGGGACCAGCAGCTCTACAGAAGAAAGGCAAGGGGAAATTAGCTGACCTCTTAGCAGACCTATTAGGCTACGGCGGCACAACCGGAGAGCCAGGTACAAAGACAAACAAACTGAATCTTTATGAATCAATGGCTTCTGCTTTGGGACGTGAGCTTAGATCCCAACAACCTGTTATCAACTGTGGACCTTTGCGTGATCTGAACTCAGCAAGACAAGGGGACAAGGGGACTATCATTTACGAAAACTGCTTCAAGTGCAAGAAAGGGGAGGAGTGCCATCCGCCCCCTAGGGGGACACCAGCATTGCCCCGGAACAGCTTTGTCCTACAGGTTGGTCAAATGCACCACAGTGTATGTTTTGGACAGCCACTATCCTCTGAGCCCTTGAAGAACGGTGTGGGCTGTGAAAAGACATCTAATGAAGAGCAGCCTATTGAAGTGCAACTGCTGGACCCTAAACTCCAAGATGGAGACCTTCCATGTGTGGAGGTGAAAGATCATTCAGTATCGATTGAAGGTAAGAGAGTGCCCCCTTCTGATTTATTCTTCTCCTATCTTCATGGACTGAACTACATGCTAACAAACAAAGTCAGCCTCTTCATTCCTGGCTTCTTCCCTCCTTCCTTCCTTCCTTCCTTCCTTCCTTCCTTCCTTCCTTCCTTCCTTCTCTTCCGCGCTCCTAAAACTGTGTTCCTTTTAATGTTTCCATCCCCGTTCTTTTCTTTGACTTTAATTAAAAATATATCATTTAAAATAATCTTTCTTCTCTGTTTCCTCTGTATTTCTTGGACTATTTCTCCTCCCTCTGCAAGCTGGTGATGCCTCTCTATGTTCTCTTCATGCTGTATTGATTTTGTGATTGAGCTGCTTTGAAGGTTGGGATAGATGCAGAGAAGCTCAACCAGCTGCTGCAGGATGAAACAGAATGTGGTTAGGATCAACTGAATTTTACACGACTGTGACGGTATACAAGAAAATTAGAAACTTAAATGACAATTGTCATTTTTGTCCAGCATGACCCCAGAGCTTCGCTGACAGTTATTTAGACAATGTGGTTTTGTGGAGGTTTCCATTTGTACAGGAAATGACATTAGGGCACTGTGTTGGCTGCTGTGCTCGTAACAGAGCCATCCCCATGAGTAATACAGCACTTATCCCAACCACACTAGGGCGCTCCAGACAACATCGACAATGTAATGCTATATCCTGACCTCCGACATGTTGCGGTTGTGTACGACAATAATTAATTTGTCCCCTGCAATTGTCTTCCAAGTCGTTTCCCATCCTTGGATCAAACAGGTTATGTGTGTTTGGGGACCGAGAGACGCCACTTCGGCTGCATTAGTTCACAGCATGTAGTAGAGGAAAAGGAGAACTTGATATAGGGATATTATCCTCACAGGGTTTACTGCAGTGTAATAGGAGTCTGTTGTATTGTTGCACATCTCATCTCAATCACACTTTGTTTTCCTCTTGCCACCAGATAAGAAGCAGAAGAGTAAGGAGGAGAGGCACAAAGTCGAGTATGAGATCATGGAGAGCCGGGCATTGGAGAAGAGTTCAGAGGTGGGATTACTCAATCCTCTTAAAATCATCACACTCACATATTTGAATTGTGTTCTTACTATGGTCCAAACTTATAATGAAATACCTGTGAGGCCAATGTCTATAAAAAAAAGAGAAATGGTTAAGAGGGTGTACACTGCAGTATGGAAGTCCTTTATAACAGCTACACACAAGATATGACAGGGCTGTTTATACTGCTTTATAATTGTCCCAGACAATTGCTATATGCCATTTCCTTGTGATTCTGGCATTTAACATGAGTGGAGTCAGTGTAACACAGTGTTATGGAACTGTAGGGCAGAACAGACAGAACACATTGTGTAAGAGTGTTACCTCAGTCATTTTTGACATTTACATTTTCGTCATTTAGCAGACGCTCTTATCCAGAGAAATTGGTGCATTCACCTTATGATAGCCAGTGGGACAACCACTTTACTTTTTTAAAACTTTTTTTGGGGGGTGGGGTAAGGGGGTGTAGAAGGATTACTTTATCCTATTCCAGGTATTGCTTAAAGAGGTGGGGTTTCAAGTGTCTCCGGAAGGTGGTGAGTGACTCCGCTGTCCTGGCGTCGTGAGGGAGCTTGTTCCACCATTGGGGTGCCAGAGCAGCAAACAGTTTTGACTGGGCTGAGCGGGAACTGTGCTTCCGCAGAGGTAGGGGGGCCAGCAGGCCAGAGGTGGATGAACGCAATGCCCTCGTTTGGGTGTAGGGACTGATCAGAGCCTGATGGTACGGAGGTGCCGTTCCCCTCACAGCTCCGTAGGCAAGCACCATGGTCTTGTAGCATATGCGAGCTTCAACTGGAAGCCAGTGGAGTGTGCGGAGGAGCGGGGTGACGTGAGAGAACTTGGGAAGGTTGAACACCAGACAGGCTGCGGCGTTCTGGATGAGTTGTAGGGGTTTAATGGCACAGGCAGGGAGCCCAGCCAACAGCGAGTTGCAGTAATCCAGACGGGAGATGACAAGTGCCTGGATTAGGACCTGTGCAGCTTCCTGTGTAAGGCAGGGTCGTACTCTGCGAATGTTGTAGAGCATGAACCTACAGGATCGGGTCACCGCCTTGATGTTAGCGGAGAACGACAGGGTGTTGTCCAGGGTCACGCCAAGGCTCTTTGCACTCTGGGAGGAGGACACAACAGAGTTGTCAACCGTGATGGCGAGATCATGGAACGGGCAGTCCTTCCCCGGGAGGAAGAGCAGCTCCGTCTTGCCGATGTTCAGCTTGAGGTGGTGATCCGTCATCCACACTGATATGTCAGCCAGACATGCAGAGATGCGATCGCCACCTGGTCATCAGAAGGGGGAAAGGAGAAGATGAATTGTGTGTCGTCTGCGTAGCAATGATAGGAGAGGCCATGTGAGGATATGACCGAGCCAAGTGACTTGGTGTATAGCGAGAATAGGAGAGGGCCTAGAACTGAGCCCTGGGGGACACCAGTGGTGAGAGCACGTGGTGCGGAGACAGATTCTCGCCACGCTACCTGGTAGGAGCGACCTGTCAGGTAGGACGCAATCCAAGAGTGAGCCGCGCCGGAGATGCCCAACTCGGAGAGGGTGGAGAGGAGGATCTGATGGTTCACAGTATCAAAGGCAGCAGATGGGTCTAGAAGGACAAGAGCAGAGGAGAGAGAGTTAGCTTTAGCAGTGCGGAGAGCCTCTGTGACACAGAGAAGAGCAGTCTCAGTTGAATGGCCAGACTTGAAACCTGACTGGTTTGGATCAAGAAGGTCATTCTGAGAGAGATAGCAAGAGAGTTGGCTAAAGACAGCACGCTCAAGAGTTTTGGAGAGAAAAGAAAGAAGGGATACTGGTCTGTAGTTGACATCGGAGGGATCGAGTGTAGGTTTTTTGAGAAGGGGTGCAACTCTCGCTCTCTTGAAGACGGAAGGGACATAGCCAGCGGTCAAGGATGAGTTGATGAGCGAGGTGAGGTAAGGGAGAAGGTCTCCGGTAATGGTCTGGAGAAGAGAGGAGGGGATAGGGTCAAGGGGGCAGGTTGTTGGCGGCCGGCCGTCACAAGTCGCAAGATTTCATCTGGAGAGAGAGGGGAGAAAGAAGTCAAAGCATAGGGTAGGGCAGTGTGAGCAGGACCAGCGGTGTCATTTGACTTAACAAACGAGGATCGGATGTCGTCAACCTTCTTTTCAAAATGGTTGACGAAGTCATCCACAGTGAGGGAGGAGGGGGGGGGGGGGAGGATTCAGCAGGGAGGAGAAGGTGGCAAAGAGCTTCCTAGGGTTAGAGGCAGAGGCTTGGAATTTAGAGTGGTAGAAAGTGGCTTTAGCAGCAGAAACAGAGGAAGAAAATGTAGAGAGGAGGGAGTGAAAAGATGCCAGGTCCGCAGGGAGTCTAGTTTTCCTCCATTTCCGCTCGGCTGCCTGGAGCCCTGTTCTGTGAGCTCGCAATGAGTTGTCAAGCCACGGAGCAGGAGGGGAGGACCAAGCTGGCCGGGAGGATAGGGGACATAGAGAGTCAAAGAATGCAGAAAGGGAGGAGAGGAGGGTTGAGGAGGCAGAATCAGGAGATTGGAGGGAGAAGGATTGAGCAGAGGGAAGAGATGATAGGATGAAAGAGGAGAGAGTAGCGGGAGAGAGAGAGCGAAGGTTGCGACGGCACATTACCATCTGAGTAGGGGCAGAGTGAGTAGTGTTGGAGGAGAGCGAGAGAGAAAAGGATACAAAGTAGTGGTCGGAGACTTGGAGGGGAGTTGCAGTGAGATTAGTAGAAGAACAGCATCTAGTAAAGATGAGGTCTAGCGTATTGCCTGCCTTGTGAGTAGGGGGGGACGGTGAGAGGGTGAGGTCAAAAGAGGAGAGGAGTGGAAAGAAGGAGGCAGAGAGAAATGAGTCAAAGGTAGACGTAGGGAGGTTAAAGTCACCCAGAACTGTGAGGGGTGAGCCATCCTCAGGAAAGGAACTTATCAAGGCGTCAAGTTCATTGATGAACTCTCCAAGGGAACCTGGAGGGCGATAAATGATAAGGATGTTAAGCTTGAATGGGCTAGTGACTGTGACAGCATGGAATTCAAATGAGGAGATAGACAAATGGGTCAGGGGAGAAAGAGAGAATGTCCACTTGGGAGAGATGAGGATTCCTGTGCCACCACCCCGCTGACCAGATGCTCTCGGGGTATGCAAGAATACATGGTCAGACGAGGAGAGAGCAGTAGGAGTAGCAGTGTTTTCTGTGAGTAGCAGTGTTTTCAGTCACATCCCACTCTTCAGTCAGACAGAGGGCAATGAGGCTGCACCTTTCCACCATGTTTTTCACACCACAGACTAGCAAAACCACCGGAACACTTGACTCAGTCGGAAAGACATGAATAAGCTTCAATAAGAACAAGAGACACTTCAGGCTACATGCTTCTTTCAACTTAAGTAGACAAGTCTGTGAGCTTTCAGTACACTCAAATTAGTCAAGTCTAAATCTAACTTGAGTCCCTCCAGTGAACTGTTAAGTAGAGATTAGCATTTGTCTGCTGTTGAATTTTGTTTTATTCAACTTGGACTGAAATCTTTGTAATTAATTCCAGCCTCAGGCTTGACCTTAGTTAGATGTAGCCTAAGCCATCACTTAGACACCAGCATCTTACTTACTGTGTACTGTGTCTTTCAGCCAGAGGAGAAAAGCAAGTACGAGCTGATGGGCAGTTGTGGACAACAACGGTTCCTTCATGAGACTGAAGGTGAGTGCATTTTATGTTCCAGTGTAGAGGTCTGTGTGGGCTGATTTCTTCATCTCGCTCCTGCCCGCTCTCGCAGGTTTTTATACCAGACCCGCCCGCTCCCGCTGGCTTTCTGTCCGACTCCCGCAAGAAATGGTCCTGAACCCAACCGCATCCCGCAAATGTTATTTTAGGCGTATGTGATGCAGCTCGCTTGCCAGCCATGGTCCCATAAGTTTTGCACCCTATAGGCAATTTCAAAATACTTAAAAATATCCTAAGAAATAGGTTAAATTACCAGAGATTCTCACGTGACCCATTATATTAGGCTATGAGTATTACTGGGCTACATCAGCCAATATGCTAGAGGTAGATTGAAGAGAGCGGAGTTGGAGAGAGAGCCGTCACTTGCACTTTCTCTTAAGCTGTGTTTGACATATATCCTTTTTGGAGTGGGGCGATTTTCAGACGGAGACAAATATGGGTGATCAATATTTATTTCCAAGCAATGTAGTAAACTATAGCCTAATCATATTTAGGAAGTACATTTCCTTGGAAAGATAACTGCCCTGTGCCTACTCTATTTAATTTACCTGTGTGTCAATCTATGTAACATAATAATAAATTCCCCAACAAATTCTGTCAGATTACATTTTACATTTTACATTTTAGTCATTTAGCAGACGCTCTTAACCAGAGCGACTTACAGGAGCAATTAGGGTTAAGTGCCTTGCTCAAGGGCACATTAACGTCATTTAGCAGACGCTCTTAGCCAGAGCGACTCACAAATTGGTGCGTTCACCCTATAGCCAGTGGGATAACCACTTTACAATTTGGGGGGGGGGGGGGGGGGGGGGGGGGGGGGTTAGAAGGAATACTATAGCCTATCCCAGGTATTCCTTAAAGAGGTGGGGTTTCAAATGTCTCCGGAAGGTGGTGAGTGACTCCGCTGTCCTGGCGTCGTGAGGGAGCTTGTTCCACCATTGGGGTGCCAGAGCAGCGAACAGTTTTGACTGGGCTGAGCGGGAGCTGTGCTTCCGCAGAGGAAGGGGAGCCAGCAGGCCAGAGGTGGATGAACGCAATGTCCTCGTTTGGGTGTAGGGACTGATCAGAGCCTGAAGGTACAGGGGTGCCGTTCCCCTCACTGCTCCAAAGGCAAGCACCATGGTCTTGTAGCGGATGCGAGCTTCAATTGGAAGCCAGTGGAGTGTGCGGAGGAGGGGGGTGACGTGAGAGAACTTGGGAAGGTTGAACACCAGACGGGCTGCGGCATTCTGGATGAGTTGTAGGGGTTTAATGGCACAGGCAGGGAGCCCAGCCAACAGCGAGTTGCAGTAGTCCAGACGGGAGATGACAAGTGCCTGGACCAGGACCTGCGCCGCTTCCTGTGTAAGGCAGGGTCGCACTCTCCGAATGTTGTAGAGCATGAACCTGCAGGAGCGGGTCACCGCCTTGATGTTGGCGGAGAACGACAGGGTGTTGTCCAGGGTCACGCCTAGGCTCTTCGCACTCTGGGAGGAGGACACAGCGGAGTTGTCTACCGTGATGGCGAGATCATGGAACGGGCAGTCCTTCCCCGGGAGGAAGAGCAGCTCCGTCTTGCCAGGGTTCAGCTTGAGGTGGTGATCCGTCATCCATACTGATATGTCTGCCAGACATGCAGAGATGCGATTCGCCACCTGGTTATCAGAAGGGGGAAAGGAGAAGATTAGTTGTGTATCGTCAGCGTAGCAATGATAGGAAAGGCCATGTGAGGATATGACAGAGCCAAGTGACTTGGTGTATAGGGAGAAAAGGAGAGGGCCCAAAACCGATCCCTGGGGGACACCAGTGGTGAGAGCACGTGGTGCGGAGACAGCTTCCCGCCACGCCACTTGGTAGGAGCGACCGGTCAGGTAGGACGCAATCCAGGAGTGAGCCGCGCCGGAGATGCCCATTTCGGAGAGGGTGGAGAGGAGGATCTGATGGTTCACAGTATCAAAGGCAGCAGACAGGTCTAGAAGGACAAGAGCAGAGGAGAGAGAGTTAGCTTTAGCAGTGCGGAGAGTCTCTGTGACACAGAGAAGAGCAGTCTCAGTTGAATGACCAGTCCTGAAACCTGATTGGTTTGGATCAAGAAGGTCATTCTGAGAGAGATAGCAAGAGAGTTGGCTAAAGACGGCACGCTCAATAGTTTTGGAAAGAAAAGAAAGAAGGGATACTGGTCTGTAGTTGTTGACATCAGTGGGGTCGAGTGTTGGTTTTTTGAGAAGGGGAGTAACTCTCGCTCTCTTGAAGACGGAAGGGACATGGCCAGCGGTCAAGGATGAGTTGATCAGCGAGGTGAGGTAGGGGAGAAGGTCACCGGAGATGGTCTGGAGAAGGGAGGAGGGGATGGGGTCAAGCGGGCAGGTTGTTGGGCGGCCTGCAGTCACAAGTCGCAGGATCTTATCTGGAGAGAGAGGGGAGAAAGAAGTCAAAGCATAGGGTAGGGCAGTGTGAGCAGGACCAGCAGTGTCATTAGACTTAACAAACAAGGATCGGATGTCGTCAACCTTCTTTTCAAAGTGGTTGACGAAGTCATCCACAGAGAGAGAGGAGGGGGGGGGGGGGGGGGGGAGGGAGGATTCAGGAGGGAGGAAAATGTGGCAAAGAGCTTCCTAGGGTTAGAGGCAGATGCTTGGAATTTAGAGTGGTAGAAGGTGGCCTTAGCAGCAGAAACAGATGAAGAAAATGTAGAGAGGAGGGAGTGAAAAGATGCCAGGTCGGCAGGGAATTTAGTTTTCTTCCATTTCCGCTCCGCTGCCCGGAGCTCTGTTCTGTGAGCTCGCAATGAGTCATCAAGCCACGGAGCTGGAGGGGAGGACCGAGCCGGCCGGGAGGATAGGGGACACAGAGAGTCAAAGGATGCAAAAAGGGAGGAGAGGAGGGTTGAGGAGGCAGAATCAGGAGATTGGAGGGAGAAGGATTGAGCAGAGGGAAGAGATGATAGGATGGAAGAGGAGAGAGTAGTGGGAGAGAGAGAGCGAAGGTTGCGGCCAGGCGCATTACCATCTGTGTAGGGGCAGAGTGAGTAGTGTGGGAGGAGAGTGAGAGAGAAAAGGAAACAAAGTAGTGGTCGGAGACTTGGAGGGGAGTTGCAGTGAGATTAGTAGAGGAGCAGCATCTAGTGAAGATGAGGTCAAGCGTATTGCCTGCCTTGTGAGTAGGGGGGGACGGTGAGAGGGTGAGGTCAAAAGAGGAGAGGAGTGGAAAGAAGGAGGCAGAGAGAAATGAGTCAAATGTGGACATAGGGAGGTTGAAATCCCCCAAAACTGTGAGGGGTGAGCCATCCTCAGGGAAGGAACTTATCAAGGCGTCAAGCTCATTGATGAACTCTCCAAGGGAACCTGGAGGGCGATAGATGACAAGGATATTAAGCTTAAATGGGCTAGTGACTGTGACAGCATGGAATTCAAATGAGGAGATAGACAGATGGGTTAGGGGAAAAATTGAGAATGTCCACTTGGGAGAGATGAGGATTCCTGTACCACCACCCCTCTGACCAGATGCTCTCGGGGTATGCGAGAACACATGGTCAGACGAGGAGAGAGCAGTAGGAGTAGCGGTGTTTTCAGTGGTGATCCATGTTTCCGTCAGCGCCAGGAAGTCGAGGGACTGGAGGTTGGCATAGGCTGGGATGAAGTCAGCTTTGTTGGCAGCAGAACGGCAGTTCCAGAGGCTGCCTGCGACCTGGAACTCCACGTGGGTGGTGCGTGCAGGGACCACCAGATTGGAGAGGCAGCAGCCACGCGGTGTGGTGCGTTTGTGTAGCCTGTGCAGAGAGGAGAGAACAGGGATAGGCAGAGGCATAGTTGACAGGCTGTAGCAAATGGCTACAAAAATGCAGAGGAGATCGGAATGAAATGGGCTAAGCATCTGGGAGTGGAGAGAGCAGGGCCTCCCTCACCAAAACTTCTACCTCGGAAACTAAAATTGTTTCACTGAACCACCCGAAGAAAAAACTCTCCCAACTTCCGCCTTTGGAAATCAGAATTGTTGTGAACCACAGCGGTTCAATGTTTAAAGGAGTAGACTCAACCCACTTTGTTCAGCTAGCCAACTATGACTCCATAGCCAACTAGCAGACTAGCATCCAATAACAATAACACACCGTTTAGCGCCAACACTTGGTCACAACAAACCACCAATATTGTGATAACACACTAAACAGATCATTCGTGTCTGTGTCAAGTTCCTTACATGACGCAGCAATGATTAGACGTTGGCTAGCTAGGACAAGTAAATTGTGGTTAGCTACTTCAGTACAGCCAAATGGTCATGTTGGGTAGCTAGCAATGGCCACTGTGTCGACTCTGTTTGAAGAACGGCTAGCTAGCTAGCTTCGTGCTACAGCTGGCACGGCCGAGGACACTGCCAAGACACAGTAACTACCCACAACAACCCACGAAGCCTAGCTATGACGCCGTAGCCAACCTGCAAGCTAGCATCCATTAACACACAACCTAGCATCAACACCTGGCCACAACAAACTGCCAAGAGTGTGTCAGCACACCAAACAGACAATTCAAGTCCGTGTCGAGTTCCCTTCACAACGCAGCAAAAAAAAAAATAAAAAAAAAATAATAATAATAATAATAATTAAACGTTGGAACCAGCTCTCCAGCGTTGCTAATCGTTACCAATAGCTACCCGCTAGCTAGCTAGCTTCGTGCCTCAATTCTAACCCACAATTACCCACGGAAAGCTACAATAACAACAATACTAACCTACAATAAATACAATACCTAACTACAGCTAACTACCTACCTACGATCTAGTACATGGTTAAGCAAAAGTTAAACGTTGGGTAGGACTACATTACCGTTGGAGCCAGCTCTCCAGCGTTGCTAATCGTTACCAATAGCTACCCGCTAGCTAGCTAGCCTCGTGCCTCGATACTAATCCACAATTACCTATGGAAAGCTACTACAACCACAATACTAACCTACAATAAATTCAATACCTAACTACAGCTAGCTACCTACCTACGATCTAATACATGGTTAAGCAAAAGTTAAACGTTGGGTAGGAGTACATTACCGTTGGAACCAGCTCTCCAGCGTTGCTAATCGTTACCAATAGCTACCCGCTAGCTAGCTAGCCTCATGCCTCGATACTAACCCACAAATTACCCACGGAAAGCTACAATAACAACAATACTAACCTACAATAAATACAATACCTAACTACAGCTAACTACCTACCTACGATCTAATACATGGTTAAGCTTTACTCAACACTACATGTAGCTTACCCCTACTTACCTCCAGCCAGAGAAAAACACGTCCTCTCCCGTCAGCACTCATGGGCTGCGTCTCAATCCACCACATCCGTCTATGGCCTTCCGCATCTGCGGTGGGAGGTGGCCGAGCTACAGCTGTGTTTGTCAGACCATGAGACATCCTGAAAATCGGTCTTCTCACGATAACGTCTGTAGCGTCCAAACGGTTTGGCCTAGACTCTATGGAAAGGGGAGACGAACAATGGTTTTCTCTGTTTTGCTACTCTACGACCCCCAGGACTCATCTGAAGTCAGTAACACTGATGTGCCAACTTCTGTCTGTCGTTTCTGAACCGTTTGAGCTACAAACTAATATGACCTCACTATGGGGAGACTCTCATGAACACGATGGTGTGCTCCGTTTTGCTCTACGAACCCCACAAGTGTCACGGGACTCGTTTGAAGGTAACCCATACAAACGAATGGAAGTATGGAGGTAATTTTGTGCCAACAAAAATAACGGGTAAACACAGTATGTGTCCAAAAAACTAAAATATTTCCTGAGCTTTCTTATATCTCCTAAACAAATTGGACAGACACTTCCAAACCTTTTTCCTTGACTGTCTTTTTTTGGCATTTATGAATGTATTAATAATAATATGCCATTTAGCAGACGCTTTTATCCAAAGCAACTTACAGTCATGCGTGCATACATTTTTGTGTATGGGTGGTCCCGGGGATCGAACCCACTACCTTGGCGTTACAAGCGCCGTGCTCTACCAGCTGAGCTACAGAGGACCACAGTAGTAGTAGTAAAGGCCAAACTAAAAATATATACACCACCGGTCAAAAGTTTTAGAACACCTACTCATTCAAGGGTATTTCTTTATTTTTACTATTTTCTACATTGTAGAATAATAGTGAATATATCAAAACTATGAAATAACACATATGGAATCATGTAGTAACCAAAAAAGTGTTAAACAAATCAAAATATATTTGAGATTTGAGATTCTTCAAATAGCCACCCTTTGCCTTGATGACAGCTTTGCACACTCTTGTCATTCTCTCAACCAGCTTCACCTGGAATGCTTTTCCAACAGTCTTGAAGGAGTTTCCACATATGCTAACCACTTGTTGGCTGCTTTTCCTTCACTCTGCGGTCCGACTCATCCCAAACCATCTCAATTTGGTTGAGGTCGGGGGATTGTGGAGGCCAGGTCATCTGATGCAGCACTCCATCACTCTCCTTCTTGGTAAAATAGCCCTTACACAGCCTGGAGGTGTGTTGGGTCATTGTCCTGTTGAAGCACCCCCACACCATAACACCTCCTCCTCCATGCTTTACGGTGGGAAATACACATGCGGTGATCATCCGTTCACCCACACCGCGTCTCACAAAGACACGGCGGTTGGAACCAAAGATCTCAAATTTGGACTCCAGACCAAAGGACACATTTCCACCGGTCTAATGTCCATTGCTCGTGTTTCTTGGCCCAAGCAAGTCTCTTCTTCTTATTGGTGTCCTTTAGTAGTGGTTTCTTTGCAGCAATTTGACCATGAAGGCCTGATTCACACAGTCTCCTCTGAACAGTTGATGTTGAGATGTATCTGTTACTTGAACTCTGTGAAGCATTTATTTGGGCTGCAATTTCTGAGGCTGGTAACTCTAATGAACTTATACTCTGCAGCAGAGGTGACTCTGGGGTCTTCCATTCCAGTGGCGGTCCTCATGAGAGCCAGTTTCATCATAGCGCTTGATGGTTTTTGCGACTGCACTTGAAGAAACTTTCAAAGTTCTTGACATTTTCCGTATTGACTGACATGCATGTCTTAAAGTAATGATGGACTGTCGTTTCTCTTTGCTTATTTGAGCTGTTCTTGCCATAATATGGACTTGGTATTTTACCAAATAGGGCTATCTTCTGTATAACCCCCCTACCTTGTCACAATACAGCTGATTGGCTCAAACGCATTAAGAAGGAAAGAAATTCCACAAATTAACTTTTAACAAGGCACACCTGTTAATTGAAATGTATTCCAGGTGACTACATCATGAAGCTGGTTGAGAGAATGCCTAGAATGTGCAAAGCTGTCATCAAGGCAAAGGGTGGCTATTTGAAGAATCTCAAATCTCAAATATATTTTATAATAATAATATAATATGCCATTTAGCAGACGCTTTTATCCAATGCGACTTACAGTCGTGCGTGCATACATTTTTTTTTGTGTATGGGTGGTTCCGGGGATCGAACCCACTACCTTGGCGTTACAAGCGCCGTGCTCTACCAGCTGAGCTACAGAGGACCACTATTTTGATTTGTTTAACACTATTTTGGTTACTACATGATTCCATATGTGTTATTTCATAGTTTTGATGTCTTCACTATTATTCTACAATGTAGAAAATAGTAAAAATAAAGAAATACCCTTGAATGAGTAGGTGTTCTAAAACTTTTGACCGGTGGTGTATATAAAAAAAAAAGATACCTAAAGGGGTCCTACATTTCCAAATCAAATAGCTAAATAATCCATGGTATGACCATTTAAAAACAATTCCATGTTAGCGTAGCGTAGTACCCCCCCCCCCCCCCCCCCCCCCCCCCCCCCCCCCCCACACACACTTTTAGAGGTTAATTGAGACCACAACTAGGAGAGGAGAGGTAGGCTACTAAACTTTATGCAGCAAGAATGATGAGAGCAGACACTTGCACTATGTATTGCATATAGGATATAGCCTACATTTTAGGAGGGGAAGATTTGCAGGCAGAGACAAATAAATAGGTTATCAATATTTATTGAATAGGAAAAGGCTATGTTATGCGCGCGTTGCACATTTTCCTTTTCAGTGATAATAAAATGTTTTGATTGCAGCTCAAATCACGTTGGTTGAGCGCCCTCCACTTCTTTCTATAACCGATATGTATTTACAGACACTGTGGTAAATTTTAGAGTAATTATATTTATGTTAATTTCTTTGGAAAGATAGCCCAACTTCCACGTGATTCTCCGCCCATGCATAGGCAGCCTTGGCCTACTCTATTTCATTGAGACCCAGAGCCGCTGGAAAATGTGTGGCGAGACAGCATTTTCCCCTGTACTTTTCAATCTTGTATGGCGCCGCCACACCACTCTCAAAGCAGCAGCACCAACCGGGCCAGTATACTTCTCAGCACAGTTTTGCATTCCAATTCAACATTTACCTGCTCTGTCGCAGTCTACCATTGAAAACCATTGAAGACTACACGCAGAAAAATATACTATTCGTATTTAAGCAATATGATTGGCCGTTCATTCAAGCACCACTACGCTCCCGCGAGTCACATCTTCTCAAGCACTCGAGCAGTACAGAAATTGATAGCTACGTTTACACAGCACACGTGAGCTGTCCTGAGCAAAAACATGCCCATCAATCTACTCGCTGATCTTATTTATTTTAGGGAAAGTGATTTTTCAAAAGTAAAGCTTCAATTGTGAACATACTATCAGTATGCTGGCTACTGTTGATACAAAAATACACCTTAGCGTTTGTCTTGGCTAGCCTACTGTAGCCAGGTCGATATCTACTGTATTTTGGAACGCAATTGTCCTTAAGGGGCAGCGTCCTATTTTGAGATGTACATTTTTTTATCTCAAAATGAATACAATTCTAAAGAATAGAGTAATGAATTACATTGCTAAATTATATTAAACAGATGTTTAATACGTATCATAATAACCAAATATAGCCTATTAATCGCTGCATATAGAGAGAAAGCATGCCAACCTATAGGCCCTGCATGAACCCAATGCATTTAAAAACTACACATGTCCGGGCCAGTAGAAATGATGTTCGGGCCAGTAGAATTTTGGCCAACTGCTAGCAGATACCCATACACTTCCAGTAATTGCGCTAACGCTAGTTAGCATTGGCTACCAAAACTACCTCTTAACTTCATACTGCACACAGAGAAGTAGATAAAGGGTAGATAAATTGTCTTATTGCCAAAATCCCGAAGTATCCCTTTAACGTTGGACCCTGTCATAGCCTACAAAAGGGACCCATTTGAGATTTTACCTGACCAGGTCATGAGATCTGGAAAAACTCCAGGCCCCAGAAAAGACACATTGGAATTTTGCCACACCACTTTTGAACCTGTGGTGCCACCTCTGTTGAGACCACACTTGATCTTGCACTCCCAACTAGTAGAAGAGAGGCTACTGAACTTGAAGCAGGGATTGCTGAGAGTGTGTGCGTATAATGCGACAAAGGTGCTTTCAATACAACCGGTAGGCCTAGGCTAACTCATAGAAAGCAGAAAGACGTCAGTTTCCAAATAATCTACGGAACAAATACATATTTTCATCTCAAATTGTCCGCCTGACCGCCTGCTCCTGCTCCTGCCCGCAGCATGAAAGATGAAGACCGTGCCGTAATGATCTCTGTCAGGCCCCACAGGTATCCCGTGGGAATGCAGCCCTCTATTCCAGTGTTCTGTCTCACCATAGCCGGAAATGAGCATGGAGGGAGAAAAATAATCCAGCCTGTCATTGATGTTATAGTTATTTGTGGTCTTTGTTTTGTTTGAATGCTGAGCCAATCAAAACATCTTCAAAGATTGCCCTTAACTTGCCTAGACCATCAACTTCTCAGTTCTCAGTTGTCAGTCTCAGCTGAACTTCACCTTGCCCTTTCTGGCACAACTTCCTGTGCTCTCTCTCCATTAAAGTGGATCATTTTGATGAGTCATTTATCTTGAATCAACATATCCTCTATCACCTGTTACTCTGTGTGCATGACCGTGTGGAATGGCAGACAGACAGACAGCCCCCTGGTGGATTAATACAGACACCAGATGTAGGGGTCAGAGAGGGCAATGGTGAAGTCTCAGAAGTGATGACGAATGGAACGTAATTCTTTTTTTAATGCAGTTTTCTCTCTACGTGTCTTCTGACCTTGAACTTAAGCATGAGAATAGCATGCTATTCACCCGCTATTTGTTTGGGTTGGAGATCAAAGAAATTAAGGTGTGGCAGAGGTGTGTCTACAGATACGCTGTATTCTGACTTAATTCCCTCATAATTACACTAATTTTATGCACTTCAGGGTCCTGTTGGTTCCAGACTTCCAGGCATCGGTACCGCTTGCCGTGCGGAAGCAAAGAGAACAGTCTATGACTTGGGTGGCTGGAGTCTACAAACATTTTCTCAGCACCCCCACCCCTAAACCTCTTCCCGCAGCCATGTTCCTCTGACACCGCCTAGTATAGAGGTCCTGGATGGCAGGGAGCGAGCTTGGCCCCAGTTATCTACTGGGTGGTACGCACTACCCTCTGTAGCGTCTTGCGGTCGGATGCCAAGCTGTTGCCATACCAAGTGGTGATGCAGCCAGTCAAGATGCTCTCAATGGTGCAGCTGTAGATAATGTTGCTGCTACCGTCTCTTATGACCGTAAAGAGCTTCTGGATATCAGAACAGCGATTATTCACATCAAACTGGACGAAGATTATTTATTTAATAAGTCTGACGCAAAGGATATACTGCTTCTCCGAGACCAGGCCCAAATCCCCGCCATTCACGTGAAGAAAAGACGGAAATACAGGGGGCGGAGATCGGGGTGCCTTGTGAGAATTTGTCGGCGAGTGGGTAACCCGCCTCTACAATTCGTTCTATTGGCCAACGTGCAATCACTGGAGAATAAACTGGATGATCTCCGTTCAAGTCTATCCTACCAACGGGACATTAAAAACTGTAATATCTTATGTTTCACCGAGTCGTGGCTGAACGACGACACGGATAATATACAGTTGGCTGGGTTTTCCGTGAATTGGCAGGACATAACAGCTACGTCTGGCAAGACGAGGGGTGGGGGTGTGTGTCTATTTGTCAATAACAGCTGGTGCGCAATGTCTAATATTAAGGAAGTATCGAGGTATTGCTTGCCTGGGGTAGAGTACCTCATGATAAGCTGTAGACGACACTATCTACCAAGAGAGTTTTCATCTATATTTTTCGTAGCTGTCTATTTACCACCACAAACCGATGCTGGCACTAAGACAACACTCAACGAGCTGTATAAGGCCATAAGCAAACAAGAAAATGCTCATCCAGAAGCGGCGCTCCTAGTGTCCGGGGACTTTAATGCAGGCAAACTTAAATCCGTTTTACCTAATTCCTACCAGCATGTCACATGTGCAACTACAGCTCAGCGTTCAACACCATAGTGCCCACAAAGCTCATCACTAAGCTAAGGACCCTGGGACTAAACACCTCCCTCTGCAACTGGATCCTGGACTTCCTGACGGGGCGCCCCAGGTGGTAAGGGTAGGCATCAACACATCTGCCACACTGATCCTCAACACGGGGGCCCCTCAGGGATGCGTGCTTAGTCTCCTCCTGTACTCCCTGTTCACCCATGACTGCATGGCCAAGCATGACTCCAACACCATCATTAAGTTTGCTGACGACACAACAGTGGTAGGCCTGATCAACGACAATGATGAGACAGCCTATAGGGAGGAGGCCAGAGACCTGGCAGTGATGTGCCAGGACAACAACCTCTCCCTCAACGTGAGCAAGACAAAGGAGCTCATCGTGGACTACAGGAAAAGGAGGGCCGAACACGCCCCCATTCACATCGATGGGGCTGTAGTGGAGCAGGTCGAGAGTTTCAAGTTCCTTGGTGTCCACATCACCAACAAACTGTTGTGGTCCAAACACACCAAGACAGTCAAGAAGAGGGCACGACAACACCTTTTCCCCCTCAGGAGACTGAAAAGATTTGGCATGGGTCCCCAGATCCTCAAAAAGTTATACAGCTGCACCATCGAGAGCATCCTGACCGGTTGCATCACTGCCTGGTATGGCAACTGCTCGGCATCCGACCGTAAGGCGCTACAGAGGGTAGTGCATACGGCCCAGTACATCATTGGGGCCAAGCTTCTTGCCATCCAGGACCTATATACTCGGCGGTGTCTGAGGAAGGATAAAAAAAATTTAAAACACTCCAGTCACCCAAGTCATAGACTGTTCTCTCTGCTACCGCACGGCAAGCGGTACCGGAGCGCCAAGTCTAGGTCCAAAAGGCTCCTTAACAGCTTCTATCCCCAAGCCATAAGACTGCTGAACAATTAATAAAATGGCCACCCGGACTATTTACATTGATCCCCCCCCCCTGAGTACGCGTCCTGGTAATCCGTCTGGCCATGCGGCCTTGTGAATGTTAACTTGTTTAATGGTCTTACTCACATGGGCTACGGAAAGCGTGATCACACAGTCCGGAACAGCTGGTGCTCTCATGCATAGTTCAATGTTGCTAGCCTCGAAGTGTGCATGGAAAGTATTTAGCTCGTCTGGTAGGCTCGCGTCACTGGACAGCTCGCATCTGGTTTCCCTTTGTAATCCTTGATAGTATCTCATTTTCCACAGTGAAGTTTATGAAATGCTGACCTTATAACTTTCAATAATTAAATTTGGAGACCCAAACAATAGGTTTCTGTAGCCATGCTTAAATTACAGTAGAGCGCCAAACCTACCGAGTTGATTTATGATTTCTAGAATGTTTTAATTAAATGCCCTGACTTTTCACTGTATTTTTTTACAAAATGTGTATTGTGTTAAATATTAGACACTATCAGTAGCCAGTGTTAGTTATACACCCACATACATTTACAACTGTCACTTTAGTGTTACTTTACATACATTGTGCATCATTGCATTACATAGTTCGTTTACCTTTCTTTCCTCTGTCACGTTCGTGTGGTTGTTCCTGTGGATCGCTAGCAATAGTGGATCATATTAGGCTAACGTATTACAATTTGGGCAATCATTTAGGACATGGAGCCTATTTGAATCATTATGGAATGCAAACGATATGTAGCCGTTTAAACCTGGAGCCTGGCACACGGTTCACGACGACTGGACCGTTGTCATCACAGTTCCATGATTAGTAAGGATTATTAGGGTCGATTTATAGAACTACTGTTCAGCCCCTATTGTACACTTTTCTCACCTTCCAATATTTCATCGATTAAACAATTACATTTGGTGTCACGATCGTCAAGCATAGAGGAGGACCAAGGCGCAGCGTGTGCAAAATACATCTCTTTATTTAGGAAGAGAGAAAAACACGAAACCGAACACTATCCAAAACTTACAAAACAACAAACGACCGTGAAGCTAAATAACGTAAGTGCACAGACAAGCAACAACCGTACAACATAGACAATTACCCACAAACACATGATGCCCATGGCTGCCTTAAATATGGCTCCCAATTAGAGACAATAAACCACAGCTGTCTCCAATTGAGAACCAATCCAGGCAGCCATCAACATACAAACACCTAGACAAGACAAAACACATACTTCACCATGTCACACCCTGACCTAACTAAACTATTAATGAAAACAAAGATAACTAAGGCCAGGGTGTGACATAACCCCCCCCTTAAGGTGCGAACTCCGGGCGCACCAGCATAAAGTCTAGGGGAGGGTCTGGGTGGGCGTCTGTCCACGGTGGCGGCTCTGGCACTGGTCGTGGTCCCCACCCCACCATAGTCACTACCCGCTTTCGTAGCCTCCTCCAAATGACCACCCTCCAACTTAACCCCACTGGATTAAGGGGCAGCACCGGACTAAGAGGCAGCACCGGACTAAGGGGCAGCACCGGACTAAGGGGCAGCACCAGGATAAGGGGCAGCACCAGGATAAGGAGCAGCACCAGGATAAGGGGCAGCACCAGGATAAGGGGCAGCACCGGGCTAAGGGGCAGCACCGGACTAAGGGGCAGCACCGGACTGAATGGCGGATCCTGGCTGGCTGGCTCTAGCGGATCCTGGCTGGCTGGCGGATCCTGGCTGGACGGCTCTGGCGGATCCCGGCTGGACGGCTCTGGCGGATCCTGGCTGGACGGCTCTGGCGGATCCTGGCTGGACGGCTCTGGCGGATCCTGGCTGGACGGCTCATGGCTGGCTGACGGATCTGGCTGCTCATGGCTGGCTGACGGATCTGGCTGCTCATGGCTGGCTGACGGATCTGGCTGCTCATGGCTGGCTGACGGATCTGGCTGCTCATGGCTGGCTGAAGGATCTGGCTGCTCATGGCTGGCTGGCTGCTCATGGCTGGCTGACGGATCTGGCTGCTCATGGCTGGCGGAAGGCTCTGGCTGATCCTGTCTGGCGGAAGGCTCTGGCTGATCCTGTCTGGCGGAAGGCTCTGGCTGATCCTGTCTGGCGGAAGGCTCTAGCGGCTCCTGTCTGGCGGAAGGCTTCAGCGGCTCCGGTCTGGCGGACGGCTCTGAAGGCTCATGGCAGACGGGCGGCTTAGCAGGCTCAGTACAGACGGGCAGTTCATGCAGCGCTTGGCAGACGGACAGTTCAGACGGCGTTGGGCAGACGGGCAGTTCAGGCGCCGTTAGGCAGACGGCAGACTCTGGCCGGCCGAGACGCCCTATAGGCCTGGTGCGTGGTGCCGGAACTGGAGGTACCGGGCTGAGGACACGCATCTCAGGTCTAGTGCGGGGAGCAGCAACAGGACGCACAGGACTCTGGGGACACACAGGAGGCTTGGTGCGTGGTGTAGGCACTGGTGGTACTGGGCTGGAGCGGGGAGGTGGCGCCGGAAATACCGGACCGTGCAGGCTTACTGGCTCCCTTGAGCACTGAGCCTGCCCAACCTTACCTGGTTGTATGCTCCCCGTCGCCCGACCAGTACGGGAAGGTGGAATAACCCGCACCGGGCTATGTAGGCGAACCGGGGACACCATGCGTAAGGCTGGTGCCATGTAAGCCGGCCCGAGGAGACGCACTGGTGGCCAGATGCGTTGGGCCGGCTTCATGACATCCGGCTCAACGCTCAATCTAGCCCGGCCGATACGTGGAGCTGGAATGTACCGAACCGGGCTATGCACGCGTACAGGAGACACCATGCGCTCTACTGCGTAACACGATGTCTGCCCGTACTCTCGCTCTCCACGGTAAGTACAGGGAGTAGGCGCAGGTCTCCTACCTGACTTCGCCACACTCCCTTTAAGGCCCCCCCCAAGAAATTTTTGGCTAGTGCTCACGGGCTTCCAGCCTTGCCTCCGTGCTGCCTCCTCATATCGCCTCCTCTCGGCTTTAGCTGCCTCCAGCTCTTCACGAGGGAGGCGAACTTCTCCCGGTTGTGCCCAAGGACCCTTTCCATCCAGTATCTCCTCCCATGTCCATGAATCCTGTGTAGGTGGGTCCTGTTGCCGCTTGACACGCCGCTTGGTCCTAGATTGGTGGGTAATTCTGTCACGATCGTCAAGCATAGAGGAGGACCAAGGCGCAGCGTGTGCAAAATTCATCTCTTTATTTAGGAAGAGAGAAAAACACGAAACCGAACACTATCCAAAACTTACAAAACAACAAACGACCGTGAAGCTAAATAACGTAAGTGCACAGACAAGCAACAACCGTACAACATAGACAATTACCCACAAACACATGATGCCCATGGCTGCCTTAAATATGGCTCCCAATTAGAGACAATAAACCACAGCTGTCTCCAATTGAGAACCAATCCAGGCAGCCATCAACATACAAACACCTAGACAAGACAAAACACATACTTCACCATGTCACACCCTGACCTAACTAAACTATTAATGAAAACAAAGATAACTAAGGCCAGGGTGTGACATTTGGCAACTTTCAGAATGACTCAAACCCCTGTATTTTTTATTCACCAATATATTTCGTGCATGAGTCTGTCGAGAAAATTCAAATAAAGTTCAAATGAAAAGTTACACCAAATTTAAAGGGATGGCTTTAGAAAATGTACAGAAACCCTATTGAATGAAAACCACAAGAAAATCTGTTGGCCAGCAAGTGGGAGGGTTTTCAGCGGTTGAATTAAATGTATTCAGCACATGCAAGGGAACTACGCTTGCAAAGCTCGTTATACACCTGCATAAGGTAAGTCTTAATACCAACTACTGAGAAGTGAGTAGGAAAGGTATGCGTAGGAAAGGAGTACATTTCCTATATCTGAATCGGGCCCCTAGAGTGCCTTACGTAACATCTGTAAATAGCATTACAGAATGGACAATAATAGGTGAATGCACAGTAGTGCGTGTGTCAGGCTAGCTTTGTGCATTGAAGTATTGTGAGTCAGAACTTGTTTTGTCCTGTTGTTAACAGACTGTACACTTCAAAGCCTCTGTCTGCTTCAATGTCTATGAGTGGCTCACCTCACCTGTGCGTTTGAAAATTGCTGAGAGCTTCACTCTGCCTTTGTATTTATGTAACTCAGTAACTCATGTTGCATAATGAGCACACATTCTTGTGCTACAGCTGTGAGAAGAACACGCACACATGCGCACACAGGGGAGCGCCAGTCACTTTACAGACCAGTTCTGGAACTCTCCTTACCGCTGTCACACATTGGCACCACATCCATCACTCACTCCACCGCCCATTTGCCTCCCGCACCTGGCTTTAGATGCCATGTCACCTTCCCACCCTCCTCCTGTTGGAGCCATAATATTATTTATTAGTGCAGGAACTCCATTTAGAACTCAGAACACTCTCTTAGGTCATGAGCACTGGGGACAGTGTTGTTTACCTTACGAAAGCATTAGCTCCCTAGCGACTGTACTTTTTTATGTCCAACAACCTGTGCCGTACAATTCCTTGAGCTTCTCAAAACTGGCCACCTTTAGCTCCTAATTAAAAACAACCTTGCTTCTCAAAAGTCATAGAACATCTGTGACAACATAATCTTTCACATGGGCTCAATAAAACAAATCCTCACTGTCAGAGTCCCCAAACAAAAAGCTAGCATAGCAGCACAGAGCCCCTGCTTACTGCATTGGCACCGACCATTGGCACTTTGTTCTAAAAGCTGGAGCAGCCGACCGTGCTGAGCTCCCGTCGCTAAGCTTAGCCAGGGGTTACCTCCGTGACATCCATTTCCAAAGAGAATCCACAGAGCGGTGCTGCTTCACAAAGAGCCATCTGCCGAAATGGCCGCCCCCTGCTGGGCTCACTCTGTGTGAACGCTGGCTAAAGGGCCCCTGCTCTAAGCTGTGGGCAGGCCCACTGTTGTAATGGGCAACCATTATGGCCTGCTGTGATTGCGAGGGACGGTTAATGTCTGATCAATTAGGCATCAGACCTCACAGATGATGCCAAAGCACAGACCCGCAGAGACTCTGGCAGTCTCTAATGGCTTCTCAATGACTGTGGAGAAATATTGCCCTGTCACTGTTGGTGCACAGCTGATTATGGGGGTCCATGTCGCCATTTTGAAGAATTAAAATGGAATGAAGGAATGGAATCACTGTAGAAGTAGCTTTGTCCAAGCCAGAATAGGGCAGGAGCCTATTTACTGTTTCTGTAGCATGAGGCAGCTTGATGTACAGGGACAGCCCCTGGACAGGACGCTAGTCCACTAACAGAGTTTTATTTACTGTATTAGTATTCATGACAGTCCCTCCAGGATTCTGCGAGCGCAAATTGTTTGCAAAATCATAAATTCCTCACATATTATGTGAGGGCTTGCAAATTTGACCGATCTCTGCACTATTTCCTGCATAAAACAGTCAAATCATTGTAATATTATTGCATAAAAATGACCCCTCACCGCAGTACAAGAAGAGGGCTCGCAATTTCAACCAATCACCGCACATTTACAGTGGGGAAAAAAAGTATTTAGTCAGCCACCAATTGTGCAAGTTCTCCCACTTAAAAAGATGAGAGAGGCCTGTAATTTTCATCATAGGTACACGTCAACTATGACAGACAAATTGAGAAAAAAAATGTTTTTGCTAATAAATTCATAAAACATCCTACAATGTGATTTTCTGGATTTTTTTCCCTCATTTTGTCTGTCATAGTTGACGTGTAGCTATGATGAAAATTACAGGCCTCTCTCATCTTTTTAAGTGGGAGAACTTGCACAATTGGTGGCTGACTAAATACTTTTTTCCCCACTGTACCTCATAATGGTAAAATCAAGCAAGCCACACGTCAACAAACGTTTTCTCTTGTCAACGTATTTTCGTGACAATTTGGATTAAAATCATTGCATATTGCCATGCAAAATGTCAGAATTGCCGCAGCAAAATCAAGCATTTTTGCCCGCAGATATATATTTAAAAAATCTGCTAAATCCTGGAGGGACTGGTATGAGGAATACTGTAGTTTGACTCTCTTGAGAGAAGCTAAACGAAACAGAGGCTTGTGTCAAACACTGTAGGTGTACTAGTAGGGAGAAGGTTTTATCCTAGTTGTATCTGTGAAACATTTGTATTTGGTGCTTTTAGATCCTGAAGGAAACTAGCTGACTTTACTGCAGGAGAAAGTGATGTAAATCCTTCCATGGTCTGTTTAGAGATGTCTGTGTAGAGATGTATCTGTTTTGATATCCCACTGTTTTCACAGTCAGACGCACAACATAACTGTTTTGTATAGAAAGGGCCTTTAAAGCAGTGTTTGTTCTTCCACAAAATGGCCCCTGGCTATAGGGAGTAGCTAGATACACTGACCTAGAAAGATGAATTTGATGTGTGGATTTAATCATGTTTACTAAAGAAGAGCTGCTTCCAGTGTTTTACATCTTGTCATTGGTGGTAGTAGATATGCAGGCTACAATATCAGATGTAGTAACGTTAACAGCAATGATTTACAGTGCCTTCAGAAAGTATTCACAACCCTTTACTTTTCCCACATTTTGTTGTGTTACAGCCTGAATTTAAATGTATTACATTTAGCCTTGTGTCGCTGATCTACACACAATACTCCATAATCTACACACAATACTCCATAATATGAAAGTGGATTTTTGGTAGTAGATTTTTTTTTCAATTACTAAATAAGTTAAGGAAAGAAAATGGGCTTAACAAATCGCATAATAAGTTGCATGGACTCATTCCGTGTTCAATAATAGTGTTTAACATGATTTCTGAATGACTATCCCATCTCTGTACCCCACACATACAATTGTCTGTAAGTTCCCTCAATTGAGTGTTGAATTTCAAGCACAGATTCAACCACAAAGACCAGGGAGGGTTTTCAAAGCCTTGCAAGGAAGGGCACCGATTGGTAGATGTGTAAAAAAAAAAAGCAGATGCTGAATATCCCTTTGAGCATGGTGAAGTTATTCATTACACTTTGGATGGTGTATCAATACACCCAGTCACTACAAAGATACAGGCGTCCTTCCTAACTCAGTTGCCGGAGAGGAAGGAAACTGCTCAGGGATTTCACCATGAGGCCAATGGTGATTTTAAAACATTTAGAGTTTAATGGTTGTGATATGAGAAAACTAAGGATGGATCAACAACATTGTAGTTGCTCCACAATACTGAACTAAATGACAGAGTGAAAAGAAGGAAGTCTGTACAGAATACAAATATTCCAAAACAAGCATCCTGTTTGCAACAAGGCACTTAAGTAATACTGCAAAAAATGTGGCAAATAAATACTTTTTGTCCTGAATACAAAGCGTTATCTTTGGGGAAAATCCAACAAAATACATCACTGAGTACCACTCTTAATATTTTCAAGCATGGTGGTGGCTGCATCATGTTATGGGTATGCTTGTCATCGGCAAGGACTATAGAGTTTTTGGGGGGATAAAAAGAAAAGGAATACAGCTATCAGCACAGGCAAAATCCTAGAGGGAAACCTGGTTCAGTCTGCTTTCCAACAGACACTGGGAGACGAATTCACCTTTCAGCAGGATAATAACCTAGAACACAAGGCCAAATCTACACTGTAGTTGCTTACCAAGACGACATTGAATGTTCCAGAGTGGCCTAGTTAAAGTTTTGACTTAAATCGGCTTGAAAATCTATGGCAAGACTTGAAAATGGCTGTATAGCAATGATCAACAATCAACTTGACAGAGCTTGAAGAATAAATAAATATTGTACAATCCAGGTGTGCAAAGCTCTTAGAGACTTCTACAAAGTATTGACTCAGGGGTGTGAATACTTTATTAGATATTTCTGTATTTCATTTTCAATAAATGTGCTAAAGTTTCTAAAAACATGTTTTTACTTTGTCATTATGGGATAGTGTGTGTAGATGGATGAGAAAAAATATATTTAATCCATTTTGAATTCAGGCTGTAACACAACAAAATGTGGAATAAGTCAAGGGGTATGATACTTTCTGAAGGCACTGTACATCGCTATCCAAAAGGTCAACACAAAGTTGTATACAAAGTTGTATCCATTCAAATTGAAGGCAGCGGAAGCCATACTGGATAAACTTCTGAAAAGTGTTGACACCTACTGTAGGTGATAAAAAGCCACTTCTCATAAAATGCACATATTTTAGCTGTGGTCTATACCATTGAATGAATAAGACATTAAGGTCAATGGCACTCAGCAACCCATCAATGTATTCCTCTCTTTACCCTAAATGGCTTTCAGCTTTATGATAGACAAAGCACTTTGGATTGGTTCAAAGCATGTGGATTGAACACATTGACTCGCTGTATTTCTTTCATTTGTGTGTTTGGCAGGAAATACTCTCCTGTTAAAATGGATATAATAGACAGCTATTGGTTGTTTTACGATGTATTTTTCACAGCATTTCAACTGTTCATCAATAAATTATGACTCTAGTACTTTGTAGTACTATGTATAGTATGTTCAGTTACACACATTTGCTAATACATGTTGTAGCTTGTAGGTCCTATCAAACAGATGGAAGACAGAGGCGTACCTGTGCTAATTAGCGATCTGCGTCTCCGAACACCTGTGTGTAAATGGAAGACGGACGCAACAAACGTGTTGTCACTGAAAAATACTGTCGGCTTCAACTTTGATAAAACAGTATATATTTTGCATTTGTGAAATTATTTTGATGTAATATGTTTCTAGAACCGTATCGCAATTGAGAATCGATTCACGTTTAGATTGAGTATTTGGCTGTTTTCCTCTAAACAGAACATGTAAGGTCCTTGGACTATAAGGAGTAACGTTAGGCTCCTTTAGTCCATTATTGGCTAGCCTCACCTGTGACTGCTGATAAATCGGCCTCATTAGGCCCCCCAGACAGATTTGTGGTTGAATAACATCCTGGTATTTCTCCATTGGCAGGGGCCATGTTTGTGTTCCCGCAGGAAATGGTGTCTCCAGAAAGACCCCGCGGTGATGGAGTGACCTACGTCAATATTCCCATCAGCCCCACGTCCAAGAAACAGCTGAACTACATGGAGTTGGAGCATCAGGAGCAAACTGGGGTCAGGGGGACCAGCCAGCACCTCCCAGGACAGAGTAAGGGCCCATTTCCCCAATAACAACCAGTCTTTTGTGGGTCATTGGTGGTTTGCTCTTCTGTGGTTCCAATGTCTTTGACCTTGCTACTAATTTTTCGATAGCCAGTTGACATGATGTGCCTCTTGAAGTGCAATAGTGTACATGCAGGTACACTATATTCAAAAGTGATGTTGTAGTCAAAGAAAATATCAAGTGACAAACAGTACATTTATTGTGTGAGCAGAGTAAGGGCCCCACAAACTCAAATGTGACCATTTGTATTTTAAGGTCCAATGCAGCCATTTTTTTAAATTATCAATATCAAATCATTTCTAGGTAACAATTAAGTACCTTACTGTGATTGTTTTAAATGTAATGGTAAAAAAGAAACAAAAATTGCTTCTTAGCAAAGAGCAATTTCTCAAGCAAGAATTTTAGTAGGACTGTCTGGGAGTGGTTTAAGTGGGGAGGGGAACACTGAAAACTAGGTGTTATTGGCAGAGAGATTTGGAACTCTCTCTCTTATTGGTCTATTAACGGCCCAGTGCAGTCAACAATTCTGTTTTTCCTGTGTTTTATATTATAATGTTGTACAACAGCTGATGAAACTAACATTGTAAAAGTGTGAATTTGATCAGTGTTATTTCCTGATAGTTGCTGGTTGAAAATACAATCTACACAGAACATCTAATCACCAGGTTTGCATGGGCGGAAGTTTTGGCTTTCCATGGTGACACCATGCAGTAAATTGGTTAATAGACCAGTAAGAAAGAGAGTTCCAAACCTCTCTGCCAATAACCGCTAGTTTTCAGTTTTCCCCTCCCCACTGGGAACAGACATCAGTTCAACATCTAGTTTTGATTTACATTTGGTTGAGATGTCAACTAACGTGAATTCAACGTGAAATCAACAGTAAGGTACTTAATTGTTACCCAGAAATGATTTGATATAAAAATGGCTGCATTGGGCCTTTAACTAATTTACTGTCCGAGATGTCAACAGGCAGGCTAAAACTCCATCCCCACCAAAACAGGCTGACATTTCATTTCAAACAGCTCTTACACTAAAAGGGCATTATCATAATTTTGATTTTTTATGTCATAGTATTATTCCAACCTCATAGTGTGGAATGATATATAAATCACAGGAAAATCACGTTTTTGACTGCACTGAGCCTTTCAGATTTCTTGGTTCTTGCTCACACTAGAATGGCAAAGAGGGACAGAAGGGTTAGGAGGGACAGAAGGGTGAAGAGGGACAGAAGGGTGAAGAGGGACAGAAGGGTGACGATCACGTTGATTGCTCCCCATCTTGCCGAGCGACATCCGAGCTGCTGTCATCAGGTCCGGGGATGTGATAGCGCGGTCTAATAACGTCATTACTCTCCGGGAATATGAGGGACGCTCTTGCTCGACGCGACAAAGGTTAATTTCCAATGTCATCTTGACGGTTTCTGTCACTTGGAGGAGGAGTGTGCCAGCTTAGCCGAGACGAAAGGTCGTATGGCGTTCGGAATACCGCGGGGAATTCACTTGCTGTAATGGGGTCATCTTCCCAGACTGTGTTCATGTGTTTGTGTGTGTGTGTGTGTTTGTTGATTTTTCCACTTAATGAGACTGCCTGGAGAAAGTATAACTGAAGCAATGGTACTTATTGCTTCATCTGTAGCTCACGGACAGGAATATATTGCTGTTCTCGCTCATTTGAATGATAATTGTACACAAGCGTGGTGACTATGTTTTTGAATAAACCTCTCTACCATGTTTATTATATTTTTATGACACCCTGAAAGGAGGGTCAACAATACTTGTTATTACTCATCTCATGGACTGCCTCTTGTTTTTTTCTCTCTACAGGGAAAAGTTCCACAAAATATGCCCAGATTGACATCACTGCTACGGATGCCGCCCACAAAACGGGTACCCAGCATGCCCTGGGGCGAGAGGAGGGTCTTCACACCCTGGAGCAGAGGAGGAGGGGAGTACCACAGTGACATCACACCTCTAATCTTGACCTCCACAGGGCCTCTGGCCCAGACCAGACTGTTGTATAAATCTCTAGAATTCAACAGAAACTTGGATTTCCTGGGGCACCTCCAGCTGCCATGATGTCAAACTCCTCGGAGATCTGCCTCATTTGATTTCTCTAACATCAATTGTTGGCGTATTCGGACAGTACTGTCATTCTGCAATCACAAAAAGCAACATGAAAACAAACGAATGAAAAAGACAAAAGCTGCTGCATGGATGTAAGGGAACATTTCCATCTAGGTTTCCCTTGTGGAATCAGACATCTCATTATAAGGCATCACTGTCACTGTCACAGCCCTGGGCAGACTTGGGGGGGAGTGAGGGGCTGAAAGTGCCAGTCTTGGAACTGAGTCATTACCCAGGCTCAAACCCCCGGAGGAGCAGTGGGTTTTTCACAGCCTCGCCTGTGCCACCCCTAATCTAATACAATACGGTTAGAATCTCATTTGGGGAAGATGAAGAGGGAGTTGAAAAAAGCATCACCCCCGATAACTCCTCTCTGATTAACATTATACTAATTCTACAGTGTTTATTTGTATGAAAGCCTTGATTGAGGCCTTTTGATAGAGGCTAGTTTAGCACAGGGCCAGATAGATCATGGATAATCAGTATTTCATTATCCTGTACAGTACATGCAGTCTTACTCATTCAGAATGTCAAAGCTACAGCGACGCTCAACAAACTTTTAAAGAACTTTATGAAGCTAATGCGACAAAGTAGGCATAGACGTTGCGGCAGTCTATGTATACCGATGAGACCAACACGATTAAGCCCTCATTATTGGGTTCTGGTTGGCTTGAGTGTTCCTAACTGCCCACTGTTGACCACATCCGTAGCGTTCGTTTCTGGGAGCTCACCATTTGTTTTTCAACTTCACAGTTCACTTGGCTTCGCTGAGGGACAGACAGACATAGCTTCAGCTAGGAAAAATTAAAAACAATATCCCGGAAATGTTTGTCAGAAGCGCCTGTGGTCCCTCATTATGCAAACGTGTATTAAAAAAAAATAGCTACATAATTTAAGACAGGAGTTCCTATGTAAATGTAACCTTATTGGAATAGAAATTGCTTCTTGTCTGTATTCCCTGCTGTGTGTTGAACGTATGCGTTTTTTTGCTGATACTTTAATCAGTCATTATTTTATTTGTGATGTTAGTGAGGTTCTCATTATATTAGTCTGCAAATGTAACCTTGTCTAGAGAGAAATATATTTGTATTAAAACCAATATATATTTCTCCAGTATCTGTAAATACATTTCCCTGTTTCTATTCTAGATGTCTTGGACTGCCATACATTATATATTTGAAGATACTGTATATGTACAGATCAATGTTAAGAGTTTTAAAAATGATGTCTGTATTTTTTCAAAAGCCTTTTCTTTGAACATTTTATTTATAACAAATAACAACCATTGCTTTGACGTGTGAGTTAATTTCTTTATGCACTGATTCACTGATGTAACAATTTGTATCCTCATTGAACATAAAGCCAATGGTTACACTGTACTTAAAACCTTTAAAACCAAATGGTTGATTGTTTTGGTTGTTGTAGGCACTGGACGTTGGAGCAGCCTTAAGGGCCATAAGTAACAGGAGGCAACAGAATCAGATGCGAAAAGTGTACGCAATCCAACTGATATTTACATAGGACTACAAAAATATGTACAAAATAGGCAGATTCTCAAATACTGTCAAAACACTGGTTTGAATAAAATCTAAACCTAAGCTTCAAAATCAGGCCTACCCTGCCAAAACAACTATAGCAGGTTGGAGTATACCAGGCTAGTGACAGCCTCCCCACATGAAAAAATACTATAGTATACTATGGCATAAATACTATAGTATTCACTGTAGTGTTTTTGTGGATTTAAGTCTGCAAAAACAGTACAGTTAATGCTGTAGTATATACTGTTGTATGCTGTAGTATAGTGTAGTATTTACAGTTAACCATAGGGTAAATACTGTTTAATCTATAGTATATATACTTTAGTAATTAATGTAGTGTTTTTGCGGATTGTAGTATACTATAGTATTTACTGTAGTGTTTACTACAGTGTTTTTGTTTTATTATCTTTGACATAGAAGTTGAAGCTTTCTCCTTGAGGAAACCTACTGGAGAAATACTAAAAGAGTACATTTTCCAAAACCGGTAGGTAGGACTACGGTCTGAACAGATAGTTCAGAGCTTCTGCTCTTTTCTATAAGCTGTAGGGAACACAATATATTGTCTATACTTGGCATGTAGTTTCTCACTTATGGGTGGCACAAATTGGGCTATGGGGGAGGGGAATGGGCAGGGTATATACAAGTTAAATACTGTAGTATTTACTATAGTTAAAAAAGTGTAGTGTTTTTGCGGACTGTAGTGTTTTTGCAGACATTACTGTAGTATTTACTACAGTGTTTTTTTGCCGATAATACTGTAGAGGGATGTTAGAGGGATACTACAGTGTGTAGTATAGTATTCTACAGTATAATAGACTTTCCCACAGAATTCTATAGTAAACTGTTTTTCCATGTTGTTCCTCACAGCTGATATACCTGAGCTAGAACAGAAGTGAAGCACAGCACATCTGATAAACAGACAGCTTTATACCAAAGATCATGATTTCTTCGACATTTAATCCATAGAATGGCCCTTTGGAGGAAGGATTGTTAACATATATTTTACATTTGTATCTTAAAGCAGACAGACATGGAGCTCCAAGACGCGGCAATTACAAACAAAGGAAACATTACTAGGCTATATGGAAATAAACTAAAAGTATTTCTCGTAAGAGTAGCGAGTGTTTGTGTGCACCTGAACATCACATCTACTTCGAGGATTGCAAACGGATAGTTTTATTGCATGAAACTGAAATGTGCGCCAATAATTTGACCAAACATTTCCTTGATATGTGACCTGCGAACACATCTTGAATTCTAGGCATTCAGGCCTTCATGTAATGCATGTTCTGATGTTCCAAGTAGAGTAGCTTATGGCTTCCATTCTCAAACAAAATCGATGCTTTAGAAAAATGCCTTAAAAATGCCTAAATGACTATCGCCCCATTGCACTAACCCTTGTCATCATGGTTCTTTGAGAGGCTGGTCATGGCCCACATCATTATTATTATTATGATTATTATTATTATCATTATTACATTATTACACGCCAGACACACTGGAGCTGGGCTGCAACAGGACGTCCTAGAAAAACGTAATCCTGTGACGTTTTCGCAAAAAGATAGGATTCATGACACAAGATGCTTATGTAATTACATTGCATTCAATGGAAAAAGATGAGGGTCACAGCAGTTGAAGCTTAGGTCAATACATTACATTCCATAGGAAAATATGAGGTATACAGTGGTTGATGCTTAGGTCAATACATTGCATTCAATGGGAAAAGATTAACATCACAGTGGTTGATGCTTAGATCAATACATTGCATTCAAGCAAAGAAGTTGGTGATAAAGCTTTTTAGTTATTTTTATTTTATTTATTTCACCTTTTTTAACCAGGTAAGCCAGTTGAGAACAAGTTCTCATTTACAACTGCGACCTGGCCAAGATAAAGCAAAGCAGTGTGATAAAAACAACAACACAGAGTTACATATGGGGTAAAACAAAACATAAAGTCAAAAATACAACAGAAAATATATATACAGTGTGTGCAAATGTAGCAAGTTATGGAGGTAAGGCAATAAATAGTTAATAATTACAATTAGGATTAACACTGGAATGATAGATGTGCAAGAGATGATGTGCAAATAGAGATACTGGGGTGCAAATGAGCAAAATAAATAACAATATGGGGATGAGGTAGTTGGGTGGGCTAATTTCAGATGGGCTGTGTACAGGTGCAGTGATCGGTAAGGTGCTCTGACAACTGATGCTTAAAGTTAGTGAGGGAGATAAGAGTCTCCAGCTTCAGAGATTTTTGCAATTCGTTCCAGTCATTGGCAGCAGAGAACTGGAAGGAATGGCAGCCAAAGGAGGTGTTGGCTTTGGGAATGACCAGTGAGATATACCTGCTGGAGCGCATACTACGGGTGGGTGTTGCTATGGTGACCAATGAGCTAAGATAAGGCGGGGATTTGCCAAGCAGTGATTTATAGATGGCCTGGAGCCAGTGGGTTTGGCGACGAATATGTAGTGAGGACCAGCCAACAAGAGCGTACAGGTCACAGTGGTGGGTAGTATATGGGGCTTTGGTGACAAAACGGATGGCACTGTGATAGACTACATCCAATTTATTTTGTAAATGACATCGCCGAAGTCAAGGATCGGTAGGATAGTCAGTTTTACGAGGGCATGTTTGGCAGCATGAGTGAAGGAGGCTTTGTTGCGAAATAGGAAGCCGATTCTAGATTTAACTTTGGATTGGAGATTCTTAATGTGAGTCTGGAAGGAGAGTTTACAGTCTAACCAGACACCTAGGTATTTGTAGTTGTCCACATACTCTAGGTCAGACCCGTCGAGAGTAGTGATTCTAGTCGGGTGGGCGGGTGCCAGCAGCGTTTGATTGAAGAGCATGCATTTAGTTTTACTAGTGTTTAAGAGCAGTTGGAGGCTACTGAAGGAGTGTTGTATGGCATTGAAGCTCGCTTGGATGTTTGTTAACACAGTGTCCAATGAAAGGCCAAATGTATACAAAATGGTGTCATCTGCGTAGAGGTGGATCTGAGAGTCACCAGCAGCAAGAGCGACATCATTGATATACACGGAGAAAAGAGTCGGCCCAAGAATTGAACCCTGTGGCACCCCCATAGAGACTGCCATAGGTCCAGACAACAGGCCCTCCGATTTGACACATTGAACTCTATCTGAGAAGTAGTTGGTGAACCAGGCGAGGCAGTCATTTGAGAAACCAAGGCTATTTAGTCTGCCAATAAGAATGCGGTGGTTGACAGAGTCGAAAGCCTTGGCCAGGTCGATGAAGACGGCTGCACAGTACTGTCTATTATCGATCGCGGTTATAAT